AAAAACCAAAACATGTGATCTACCTGAACCAACACTTTTTCTCCATAGTTCTGTTTAACAGCACACATAAACTCATGCAAAAACTCTGCATATTCCTGAATCACAAAAGTAACCAAACTTGAAACACATATAATTCAAACACAAGAAATGTACAGAATCAGAAAAGATAATTAGTAAAACCTGGCCATTTGCCCTCTTCTGTTTAAGACCAATGTAAAACTCATCATTCAAAAGCTTCTCATTGTTTGTACCCACATCAATGGTGATTGGAAGGCACTACAAGTGGAACAGCCAGAAAGAAAAATCAAACATAACTACCAATTCTTAAAACATTCAGCAGTGTTCTGTTCGGTTGCTTACAGCCGATGGACGGATTCCTCCCAAAGCTGTGTATAGTGAAAGCTTCCCAACAGGGATTCCCATTCCCTATAAAAATTCCCATCACTCAAATCAACATAAGACGAAAGACATATCACAAGAGAATTAAAGTTTTCTAGTGTTTAAAACTCTGTTTTACCTGGCAACCGAGATCTCCAAGACCGAGAATGCGTTCACCATCAGTGACAACAATAACTTGAATCCCTCTCTGTGGCCAATTCTTCAATACTTCAAGAATCTTTCCCCTTCAAGAACCACCAAATTGTACTTAGATATGCTAATAAATGAACGAAAACGATAGACAAGTATTAAATCGCAGTTACTTCTCTTTCAAGCTGATGTAAAGACCTTGTGGCCTCCTATATATGCTCCCATACTTTTGACAAGCCTCACCAACCGTCGGTGTGTACACAACAGGAAGCAACTCCTCCACATTATCAATCAATAGCTTATAAAACAATCTCTCATTCCTTTCCTACAAGATTCAGAACTCATCAGTTCCAAATTACAAACAGTTAAAAAAACTAAACCAAAACAGAACAGAACAATGATTCACCTGAAGATCCATGAGAGCCATGTAACGCTGCAGAGGAACCGTGTACTGACGAAGATTATGCATCACTTTCTTCTCCTATTAGTATTATCCAAGAAACTAAATTCAACATAACCTCAAACAAAAAAATGAAGGTTCTCTCTACGACTCTACTCAAAAACCATAATCGTAAAAATACATCAAAGTCACCTGAACATCTTGAGATAACACAACAGGAGGAAGAAGACCAGTAATGTAATGAGCATCTCTCTCTTTATCAGTAAAGGCAAGTCCTTTATTGTAACGAGGATCACGCATCAATGTATACCCACTGGTCAAAAACAAAACATGTAAGCAAAGCTATCAACTTTTATACACAATTGTCACAAAAATTGTCTCTTTCTTACACAACAAACATTTCTTGGTTTGCAAGTTTAAAATAAATAAATCGATTCCATAAGTTGTGATCATCGCACCTAGCGACGGAGGTAACCCAAGGAGTGACGAGTTGATCCAATGTGGCACTATCTTCACCGTAAATATCTGAGATCCCACCACCGACGCCGGACCTGTTATCGGAGACATATTCGTCGGAGATCTGAGTTGGGTTAGTGCTCATTTTTTTCGATCAGATAAGGAGAGACAAGAGAAACGATTGAGACAAATCAAAAGGAAGAAGCTTTTTTAGGGGGAAAGTGATATATTGATGAAGAGATTAAAGTGGATCAGACATGGAAGAGGACAATGTGATTAATAATCGCCGATTTTGTAGGGGGAGGAGACAATTACTTCTTGTCTGAATACAAAACGTCGACGAGTCTCGTACTCTTTGTCTTTTGAGAAAATTGCAAAACAGATACTTAATTTATTTGTTTTTATTTATGTAAAACTACTTCAATAAATTTGAGATGTATGTTTAGACCTGAAACTATTAAATGTTACAATTAAACCCTTCTTCGTCGCTTTTTTCAGCAAGAGAGTAAAGAGTAAAGAGTAAAATAGTAAAGACCGAGCATTATACCAATGTGGCAATGTAAATCTAAAATATAATCAGGCAATTTAAGAAGAAACCTTTTTATCACAAATTAATTTTATATGGTTAAAGAGGTTCTAGCAGATAAAACTGTTTATAGACTGCACCAATTTTTATTTACTTTTCACCAGTTATATATGTAGTAGTGTGAATTAAAAAAAAAAAAATCATTGATGACCAATTACATACTGTTTTTATATAGAAATAGAGTTGGTCCACGATGATTTGTTATTCCGTCTCAAATATAAAGTAGACTAAATTACTTACAGATTTATCTATCTCAATTATTGTAACCATTTGAATCTTTATGGTATGAATGGTTGCAGCGGTTAAGCGGAGAAATCCGTATGTAGATTAGACAACTTTATATTTACTATTCATAAATTATGTTCACATTAATATGATTTTAATAAAAATAAAAGAAAATCGCTGCGGACCAACCATAAACCCATAAACCGCTTTTACGTAAAAGTATAATTGACGGTTTGTTGTAAGCAGATGAGTCCATCTTAATTGCATAACCATTCACACCTTAATTTAAAATAGTGAAAAATCAGGTAAAACTGAAATATGTCGCAACACACACCGTCGCAAACCATTTTAATTAAAATTTTATCAAAACTTAATTATAGTGCTGCTCTGCAGATTTCATCATTACCAAAATATTATATCCAAATTTACACGCCAACACCTAATCATCATGTACATGTTCCTATAATAACAAATCTTAGAGCAAGAGATTCTTCCTCCATGCAAAGTTTCAATTTCCAAACATCAAAACGAAAGCAAAAAAAGAAAGATGGACCACTCAAGCAAAAGACAGAAGATCAACAACATGGACTACCGGAAATTAACGGAACAAAAGATGGACCAGCTGAAGAAATTGGTAGAGAGTGATGATGAAGAGGTGAAGCAAATTATAAAGAAGAATGAAGAGCTGAAGACATTGATGGAGACTGATGAAGAGGTGAAGCAACTGGTAGAGAATGATAAAGATCTGAAGAGAATTGTAGAAATATACGAAAAGAAGTTGGTTGGGAAGCCAGCTGAGATTCACAAGTTCTTCACAAACCTAGAGCTAGCGTTTTGTCAAGTAAACGCAAGCCAAGAGGAGATGAAACTGAACTTGCTCCTCGCCATAGAAGAAGGTCTCCGAACCACTGTGGAGCTCCTACAAGGACGCAACGAGTTTAATGAGGTATTGTCTATACTATACATGCATGCATCTAGTTATGTATATAAAGTATATGTTGATCAGGTTCTTGAGTGCTAATATGTTTCGTGTGTTTTCATAGGTACTTTTCAAGCGGAACTACGAAATAGAGCTGGAGAAGAAGTGTTGTGAGATAAGAGAACTAGAGGATAAACTCATTCTAAAAGAAGGGCATATCAATTATGAAATGCAAGAAGCACGCCAGGAATTGATCAAGGTACACATATTTATTTTTATCATGCATGTTACTAAGTTTTGGTATGTTATACACTGTCTTGTTTCTTTCTTTCTGTAGGGGCTAAGGGGGCTTAAGGGTAATGGATCTGCGATCGGATTAAAGAGTATTGGAGAAAAAGATGTCTTTGAACTGTGGAACTTCGAACAAGGAAGGAAAGCCACACTGAAAGAAGTGATTACAAGCATGATCCAAAAGATCAAGAAACCCTAAACCAATGTTAGTCTTTGTTCTCCTTTTGAATCTCCAATCTAATATTGGACGTTCTCTTCTGTGTGAAAGTAATGTTAGTTATTAGTGTTAAATGCAAGATTATATGTTACATGTAACATATGACATTATATGTCATATGTTAGTGTGTTATATGTTATATGTAACATTATATGTTATGTTAGTGCTATCTAAGATTATGGTGTAACCAATGTGTTGTACGAAACAGTGTAACTGGTACTTTTACCATCAATGACTAGTAGTTTTTTGTTGTTGTTGTTGCAACTTGCAAGTATTAGACCTGTTTAAGCCAACCCCAAAAGATTCAGGATATGTACGTGTACGGTTGTAGGTCGTGGAAACTGGAAAACAAGGCCGTGGTCTCAACCATTAGACACACTAGTGGCTAACATCACTATCTTCTCTTTCTACTACTTTGTTGCCTCTCTTTAAAACTAATGTCATATCTTGTAAAAGTTACATTTTAGTAAATTTTTATGCACAATCAATTATCAAAAGAAAGAAAAAAGAAGTTATTTTAACTTAATTTACGATAAAACATCTCTCATAAAAGCCTCGAATTTACTATTAATTTCCCACTGTTTACAACAAACATTTAGCTACATATAATGAGTTTCTTCTTCTTAGTGCAATGATAGTTTTGTTATCATTGCAAATCTGAAGCAAATTAAAATATGGTAGAAAATATTCACATGTATATAAATAGTTTTAAATTTTCTTGTAGGTTAGATTTCGAGTGTTTTTTTCATACTTTTATTGTTTTCAGTTTCATCTTTAACATTTGAACTGATTATTTTTCGTTGTTGTAAGAACTCTGTATTGATTATGAGTTTATTCAGATTTAATTTACATTTTTTTAGAAAAATAAATTCGATTTACCCTGTATAAGCCTATTTAAGCTGGTTTATATATGAAAATACGTGTATTTTGCATAATTTGGACCAATTTAACACTCATTTTGAAGAACAAAGAGAAAATACATAATGCTACAATTAGTCCTTATTAGTTTATATAAATGTAGTCACCAGTTAAAAACTTTAAACGATGAAAATGCAACATAAAAGTAGATAGGTTACCAAAATATCTCAATAAACCTCATCTTCTTTTTCTTGTTGGTTCAATAGACTTCAACTTTCCCACTAACAAAAGAGGAAACCTTTAATTGGCTTTACCGTGTTGTTCAAGATATACATGTGAAGCTTGATCCTTTTTTAGGTCATTAAATTAAAGCTAAATTGTTCATGCTTTTATTGGCAGGACAAAAAACAAAAGCAAATAAAGAAACAGAACCCTCGAGACTATTCTCTTAAACACTCAACACTATAAATATCGCATCATAACAACAAACTAAAACTTAAATATAGATACAAGTAACTGCTACACATATATACAACAAACACACAAAGCAAACACCAAAATAACCACACATCTTATATCAATGGACCGTCTTCAACGTACCATCTCGGATATTTCACACCAAATCTCCATAGACAATACCCTAACAAAAGAACCATCTCCAACCGCGACCGCGACAACTTTGTTGTCTTTAGCAGCGATAGCCGAAGTGGAAGATGCAAAGTGCGAGTGTTGTGGCATGTCTGAAGAGTGCACACCAGAGTACATCCACCGTGTGCGTTCTAAATTCTCAGGTAAGCTGATCTGCGGGCTATGCGAAAAAGCTGTGGAGGAAGAGATGGAGAAGTTGATCAACAGTGAAGTGGTGGTGGAGAAGAGAAGAGAAGAGGCAGTAAAGGCACACATGACCGCGTGTTCCCGGTTCAACAGGCTAGGCCGGAGTTATCCAGTCTTGTACCAAGCAGAAGCTGTTAAGGAGATGCTGAAGAAGAGGTCTAAGAAGATGGTTGGAGCCACCACCAAGCCCGAAAAAGGTGGCCTCGCTAGAAGCTCGAGCTGCATGCCGGCTTTGGCTAAGGAGCTTAAAGATCATGCCTTAGTTAATTAGTTTGTGTATCTTTGTATTAAATTGTATACTCACGTTACGCGTTTGTTATACTATCTATATGTTCATACATAGGATTGAAGTTATATGCACAGAGGGAGATGTATGTGTATTAAGTGAGTTATATATGTGTAGTTAAAACTGATGGAAGTTTTTCCTATACGTGTAATGTGTAATATTTTTTTCAAACGTTCGTTTCTCACTATTATGTAGTTGTGGTCAATCATGTAAAGAAACGGACTATTACGTTAATATGATTGAGTATTAATTAGCTTAGATGGTAACACAACCTATAGGATTATATAATCATTCAACTCTATAATTGAGCACTAGCATAGATGATAACATATATAGGTCAATGAAATTTATATTGTTCTTCCCTAGCTTTAAAACTAGTTGGCGTAAACTCGTACGTAGTAGTAATATTCCAGTGTTAAGAGAGGTTTGCCTGAAAAGAAAAATAATAGCTACTGCTGAATTAATCCGTAATCAAGTAAATCGTTATAAGAGAGGTGTCAAACATTTCATTCGATACGAAAATGCCTTATGCTATATATACCAAGATTAATAAAACCCACCCAAATATACCCAACCGTACGTGTATTATTAGTTTACCACCAAGCATTGTAGACGCTGTCGAGTAAAAGAGACGGTATAGTGTTAAATATCTCATATTGCTAAAGAATTGCCCTTACCATTTTTTATAAATTAATTACATATATAGACAATAGAACTCATAGAGTAATTTTTGGGTAGGTTCTACATCTACGTACCTAATTAAAGGTTTAATTTTATTGGACTTAGTTAAAAGACTAGTATTGGATATGTTCTTATATATGTCACTATTACACTATAACGTTTAATGTAATCAATGATCAAACAAAACTATGGTGGTTTAATCTACAATGTTTTGGGGCCGGCCGATTAAATCTGTTGTACATCAAGTTTATTTTTATGTAAAATTGTACGTAGTTGGTGTTCGACGAATTTCTTCTATTTCACATTTTTCTGCATCACTACGGATTATAATTTATGGATGGTAAATATAAAACAGTCTAATATACAAACGAATTTATTCGTCAAAATCACGTACAACAACCATTCGAACCCTATCAATTCTATGTACAAAAATTAACCTTAGCTATTTAGCCTAATTAAACCAGTTTACACTTCACGTACGAAAACTACCTTAGCTTCTTATGCTAATTAAACCATTATGAACTTCACGTTTAAAAACTACCTTAGCTTTCTTTGTTTCTACACGTTACAAACGCCACGTGGTTCTCTAGAGCATATAAAGGCTTTGGCCTTTGGGGGCTTTGCTTACTTTCAAAGAAGCATATTTACCTAAACCCATCCATGAGTAGACTTCGCTTCATGTCCCACTAGCTAGCCTGAATTTAAGTATTGCACCACGTGTATTACCCCTTTTGGCACGTGAGGAGCACTCTTAGGCATTTTTTCTTGGCCACTCTTACGCATTTCTCAGTGATCCGTTATCATTATTTCACAAGAGAGGAGATATAGGAGACTAAGATAACATAAACTAAGTATTATTTATATATCGAGTGTGATGTAATTTTCAAACGCAAGAAGGGTCTCGTTCAAGCGATCACTGAATAGGTAAGATGAAATTACTTTATTATAATAAGTTAGATGAACAGCTATAAAGGGAAAGCAAAAAAACCTTATCCATTGTTTCGAAGGACGTTCTCGGGTTGGCGTAAGATCAAAAACTATGTCCCACGGAACTAAGGTCTTCTCGAGACACGTGTTTGAGATAAGCAGACAATCATGCATGTGAAGCTACTGAATCTTTTTGTTTAGTGAATCGTCGATCGCTTCTACCAAAAGAAATAAATGGTGATTCAATTATGATTCATATGAATTGTAAGAATACGGAAAATATAGGATATGAACTTTGTGCAAATGGAGATATTGATTGTATCGAGGAAGCAATTTGATTTTACTTTTTACGACAATTGAAATTTTACAAATATATAGTTACTTTGGTGTTATACGTGTCCATATACCAAAATATACGAATTTAGAATTCGAAACTCAACACCATCATACTTATTTGTTTTTCTTCTATTTTCTTACTCATGCACTAGGAAGAAGGATGCATACTTCGTAATGATAAATTGTTAATGCACAGTCATCAGTACAAGATGCGATCAAGAAGTTAAAAATATTCTCTTCAAACTGTATTAAGTTAAAATATTCTATTCTTTTTTAATTTCTTATTTATATGTGATCGAGATCATTAACTTAGCTAGATATATACGTAGGACTTATAAATTATAAGTACCTAGCTTTCGTTTCTAGTACTTATTTCTTTTCTCCATGTATTTGGATCTTCTTTAGATATATATATATATATATATATATGTAGATGATTTCGTGTTTCCTTGAATTAGTAGCATATAGTGGTTAATAAGATTTAAAACTTAGGGATAGTTATAAATTAAAGAAGGGAGTGTTTTACATACTCGGATTATACGTGAGCTGGAAAATTGTCGTGCCTAAAAGTGGGATCGAGAAAGGAATAAAGAGATTTAACATGGGATTAGGAAGAAGTGTTAACGTGTTTGTAAGATAAAACAATAGTTATAAAATTTAACTACTCTTAATATATATTCTTATACAAGTCCCAAGAAACATTGTTCGATGTGGTAGATAATCAAATCGGCCAATAGAAATATAGAATATCTTGATCTCTTTCAAGAATTATGTCGTTTACGAGATTTTGTATAATTAGCTATTTTGGTCGCTCATTTTAACGTTGTTATTCATTTCATAGTTTAGTTTTCTTGAAATCTTAGTTATTATAATAACCTTATAACTTTTGAAAGTAACGTGAAAGAACCTAACACAGTCCTCCCTAATCATATTTTTATTTACTATAATCCGATTTTTTTTTTTAACGTACTGCATCCATTACTTATAGAGTTTACGACAAACTGCTAAAAGATAAAATTTACTTAAGAGCAACAGATGTATTCGAATTTTTCTTTTATAAACTAAAATACAGAGTAAGATTATCCCATTTGAGTAGCCTAAAAGTCTTAAACTACATACAAAGTATTAAAATTTGTTATAATCTAACTAAATCAATGATGAAAAGTTACAAAAGAAATATTAACACATACAAAACTCAAAAAATATAACAAAATATCTTATAGTATATAACTGTATTTCGGTTATCCGGGATATTAGATTTGGATATGTAGTTTTGGTTTTAATTGATTCAATTTTAGAGTTTATAATCTACTCGGATATTTTAAAATTTCGATATAAATGTTAGTTTGGTTCTGGTTTATTACTTACGAACTTACCTAGGACTAGGTCATATTATGTAATATAACTTCATTTGTTTTATTCTTCCATTAACAAATTCTCTAGATCTTCCTTTGCCTTTGCCTCAAATGTACCTTATTTGATCCCGGTGTATGAATTCTGATACACATAAAACAATGTGTATCGGTTTAAACTTTCCCCTAATGGTGTGTCGACGCTTCTTAGTTCTTATCGACAATATAATCAACGGCATGATGATCATACAACACATGCACGTGAGTGGTACTTTCTGTAATTTGAAGCAAACGTTATAACCCTTTTGGTAAAGTTGTCCCCCACCACTATACCATAATTGCACATGTTTGATTAATTAATCAACTTTTAATATCAAGTCAAAATAAACTTTTCCCACTTTTCTCTTTGTCAACTAATCAAAATTTAAACACTACCATTACTAATTTACCTTTTCATATTTATTTGTACCATACTAAAATCTTAGTAAAAAAAAAAAAACTATTTAATTATAGTATCACTAATAATTACTACAATTTACAAAGGAAACAAAAAAACTAAATTAGGTGTATTAATTACTAGTAAGTGTAAAGATAAATAATTCCCATAAAATCTCCTTTGTCTTCGTCAAACCTTCAGAATTAGACCTCTTGTCCCCTTCAAACGCAATAAACAAAAATGCAAATAAAAATGTTAAAAAATAAAAAATAAACAAAAGTTTTATCTTTTTTTCTAAAAGAAACCATAACTTTCTCTAACTTTACTCCTTTTTAAACTCACATTTTCCCCTCACTTCACTCTCTCCTCTCTCCAAAGACTTCCTCCGACGAGAGATTACCGGAAAAATTATCTTTTATAGCTTTTAATCGAAAAAAACTTCTTTATGGAAGATGAAGCCCATGAGTTTTTTCACGCAGCTGATCATTTTGCCGTTGATGACCTCTTAGTTGATTTCTCTAACGATGATGATGACGAAGAAAACGATGTTCTTGCTGATTCCACCACCACTACCACTACCACCACCGCCTTAACCGACAGCTCTAGCGTCTCGGCCCTTGATCTCCCTAATTTTAGTTGCGATGTTCACGACGGTACTAGCTTCTCCGGTGACCTTTGTGTACCGGTAAGTTATTATATGGCAATTCTTGAATTCTAGTCAAGAAAATAAAAAATGTTATGTAACGTTTTTTTTTCTAATACAATGATTTGTTTTGGTTTTAGTGTGATGATTTGGCTGATGAGTTGGCGTGGCTTTCGAACATTGTGGACGAATCGTTCTCACCTGAAGATGTACAAAAGCTTCAGCTAATATCCGGTTTTAAGACCCGACCCGAACCGAAATCCGAATCCTGTAGCTTGGACAACCCGAATAGCACCAGTCCTATTTTCACTACCGACGTTTCTGTGCCGGCCAAAGCTAGGAGCAAACGCTCACGCGCTGGAACGTGTAATTGGGCCTCACGTGGGCTTCTCACGGAGACGGTTTACGACAACCCTTTCACCGGAGAAACCATTCTCTCTAGCCACAACTTGTCTCCACCGACCTCGCCGCCACCACCACCACCGATGGCTCAGGTTGCGAAAAAACAAGCCATCGGTGGTGACGGAGGATATCGGCGGAAGAAAGATGTTTCTTCCCCCGAGTCATGTGGCGCAGAGGAGAGAAGGTGTCTCCACTGCGCCACGGATAAGACCCCGCAATGGCGGACAGGCCCAATGGGCCCGAAGACGTTGTGTAACGCTTGCGGGGTAAGGTACAAATCGGGTCGTCTGGTGCCGGAGTACCGTCCGGCCGCGAGTCCGACGTTTGTGCTGACTAAGCATTCCAATTCTCATCGGAAAGTAATGGAGCTCCGGCGACAGAAGGAGATGAGTAAGGCCCACCATGAGTTCATACATCACCATCATGGTACGGACACTGCCATGATTCTCGACGTTTCATCGGAAAGTGATGATTACTTGATCCACCACAAGGTTGGCCCAGACTTCAGACAGCTTATTTGATTTTTTTTTTTTTAATCCCTTTTTATTTTTTTTACCAATAATTTAATTAGGGATATCTTTTTAGAAATCAAATTTTGCTAATCTTAGAATTTTGTTGATGACAATTTTACTCTCTTTTTTTTTATTTAATCTTCCCTTTAATTTTTGTGTTATTTTGGAATTTGCTAGAAAACTTTTGTTGCATTCCTCATGACATTTTTAGTTAAATCTCTTTATTTATTTTTTTCTGTTAATCTCTTTTCATCATCGATTAGTTTTTGTTAGAACAAAAAAATGTTTATAAAATATATTCACAGGCTTTATAAAATTATCACTTTGTAAGATATATACAACAAGCAGAGAGGTGCATAAAATTTCATAATGATGGAAATATAGGTGGGAGAGTGTCTCAGTGTTGGTAATGTGTCACCTCAATGATCAAGGTCCCTCTACTCTTTTTTTGTAGCATAGTTATTTCAAAGTTTCTCATTTGAAACTATTTGTAATTGTTTCTAAATTGACAATCATCTGAAATTATTAATAAAGCCAATTTAGATTGAACTGTATTTTGTAAGCTATTTTGTTAGCTTTCTTCAGTTTGATGATTTAGATAGCACTAATGTTTGTTTGATGCAACTCTTTTGAATATGTATGCATGCATGGTTTAAAATTAAAACTACTATATTCCTAACAATACATGAGGACAAGAAGAAAACAATTTCAAGTAAATTATTTTTGATAAATTCAGAATCTCAAGATATAGTAATTTATTTTTCTCTGCTCTCACGATCCGATGCAGCACTAATCCATAGTAGTTTGTATATAATTTACTAGTAGTTAGTTCATAAGCTTAGAGATTCTTTAATCTTTATAAGTTATAAAAAATAAATATATATTCAAATTATTATCCAAAACTACAGAGAATTCATTTGTTTTCTGGCAAATAGATATGTAATGTCGCAAGAGGTCGAGATTTACTGATTATATTCTCATAGACAAAGCCAAACAATAACATGATGAAGTAGTTTTGTAAGTTTGTAACCAAGTGTTGTTTTGGACTGTGATATATATTTACAAAAATTATGATACTTTAATTATTTATAAAAGAGTCAGTTAAGGCTTAGTTTGCGGTGGTCACATGCCTCTCATGCACATGCACATAGAAAGAGAGAGTGTCATTTTCATGAACACTATCTGATCATGTAACTTAAGCACATGTATCCGACAACAACAAAAGTACACTACTTACTTGTGACGCTCTATGTTCATATAATCGTGTTTCTAATTTTGTTTTCTTTCTTTTCTATAATTACATATCTTAAAATGAAGCATACATATGTTGTGCCTCTCTTAAACTAGTTTTTTCGCATCAGAGAATTGCATATGTGTACATAATTATTCAGAAAGAAAGAAAATTACCATTTTTAAAAACTAAAAGTTATTCATAATTGAATAAAGGTACATGTTTTAACTACCACTTACATTTTAAATAATAAATTTATCGAATTTTACAATGATATAATCATTAACTAAATTAAGTTTTTAATTCAAAATTTAATAAATTATAAGCTAGTATAAGATCTACTAGATATAAATATATATTATATGCTAACTAAAATATAAAGTATCAAAGCTAACGTAGAAATGTAGAGAAATGGGTTCCCATGCGCATATGTATAAAAAAAATGGCACATATTAAATCGTGAAGAGATAGATCATTCATGTCTCCTGACAAATTAAACGATATTATAATTATCCACAAGTCGCATCTATATCTTGATCATTGTTTTTATAAGCTGAACTAACAAAGTAGCTAGCTAATGATTCTGGTCCTCCAAAACATGTGATCAAATTGGGGAAAACCGAACCAAACCGGGGAAAGATGTTAATCCAAGGAGGTTTTGGTTAATTTGGTACAGTTTATAGCAAATAACACTGGACAAGTTTATTATTTGAGATGGCTTTAGATATGAATATGCATACTTGTACAATTGTACAAAACATGAATTTTAAGTATTGAATGTTTAAAGACTCTTGCATTAAACCTAGTGTATATTGAACTATTGTAAACCCATTTACCTGCTGCAACATTACACTCTTATGGATCGATTTTTAGAAAATGACCCAAAGCTATATGGGCTTTACTCAAGATCGGCCCTGACTTGTGGCTTAGAAACTATTAGGCTTTAAAATTTTCACCATTTTTCATAAATCTAGATAATGCCATCAGTTACACTAGTTCCTCAAAATCTTTATTTTATCAGAAAATATAAAACACATTTTTAATCATTCTAAAATTCCAATTTCCTCATTAACGGTTACATCATCTTTATTTAAAAGAAACTATATTGATATTTTTCTAGAAAATCCGTTTATATTGAGAGCTATATCGTCTTTGAGGAAAACAATAATTGCACCACTAATTTTTTAATCAAATTTCATTGAATATATATATATATATATATATATATATATATATGCCTGTATGTGTGTGTATGAAATGGTAGTTCCAACTTCTTAAAAATGGTTTTAAAAATAAATCTGATGTTCAACATTAAAATATCATTTGATATTGAACAGACTAAGAAATTGTAAATTATTAATTAAATATTGATGTGATGACACTTGTCAAACACGACGTTGTCTTGTCTCTACTATACATGCATGTCATGTATGTCATAAAACACACTAACAAAAAAATATAAACAATTTTAGACAACCAAAGAATGAACTTATTAACGTTGGTTGTAATTAGAAGAAAAATGTCAAATTTAATTAGTACACTTAAGTTCATTAGTAAAAGTGTAAAACTACTCTATATCGAAAATTCAAATTATTTTATTACTAGCAACTTAATATGGTTTCGGTTTTCACAATTTGGCTACCTTGATTTCGCTTTATCCCAAAAATAATAATAAATTTGCAATCTCAAGAAAATGGTTGAATTTAAAATACTAGTAGAGTAGAATCAATTGCCGCAACATGCAAGCAACCTTTAATGGCATAACATTACCCTTTTTCTTGCAAAAATCTTTGTCAAAGAATACACAATGTAGTATGCATAGATGGACAATACACAATATTTGTTTTTTTGTCATTAAATATAAGAAATTAGCTCAATAAAGTCAATTTGGAGGACAATCGTTCAGCAATATACGTAAATAGTATGAACATTTCGTGCCAAAGATGGACAATACACAATAATCTAATTATTTATCTTTTATTTCTAATTTCCCCTTATTTTCTTATATTTCTTCAAAATTTATTTCTTATAAAATTCATTATTCATTGTTATTTTTTTATTTGTTCTTTTATTGATTATTGCTAACTAGTTGAACTCTTTTAGAGAAACCTGGTACTAACTAAAAATATTTAAAAATGAACCTACCATTACAATTTATAGTTTCATTATAAAAAAAAAAGAAATGCAACAAATCTAAGGTTAATTTCTCTCATTTTTGCAGTTCAAGATGGTTTATGATAAAATTCTTTCATTTTTAGTTCTGTAAAATATCGAAAAACAAATCAATTAATTATACCGTTTTCAAAATATCAAATAGAAATATATTTAAATCTATAGAATAACAATATGCATATATCCTATTTATACAATTAATTATTTGTATAATATTTGAAATGATAAATACTGTATAAGATATTTACTGATAAACGTAACGGATGAAAAAGCCAGCAAGATTACAGAGACAGAAACAAAAGTAAAAAAGAGAAGAATCTTTTTTTTTTTTTGACATCATCATCATCATCAGAAGAAGATACAAAAGCGTGGCGGCTCTAATCTCAAATTCCCCAAATTACCCTTTATTTGTTTTATTCTTTCTAAAATACCCTAAACTAATAAGAGAAATGAGTTCTTGATTCCTCCAAAGCGTCCGTTGAGGTTTTCTCGTATAACACTTACACAATCGCAAAGCAGACAAAACCACAAGCATATATACTATTATTGTTTTGTTTGGTGAGTCTTGTGGTGACCATAAGGCCGATCCAGTTTTTTCAACAATGTCTCTTTTGATCTTTGTTTGACTTCCTCGATCGACTTCTCAAACCTGTAAGTAAGCTTTCAAGATTCTCTCTGTCTCTGTTTCTCTCTCTCTGTTTCTTGGTGAAAGCAGAGCATAAACTTGTGTTACTAACTCATATATGTTATCACTATGGTGCTTTCTTATTGCATGCAATGATGTTATCTAAAAAGATATGAAAAGTCAAAAGTAATGATTCTGATTATGATTAGGAGTTATGATTACAGATGTTAGACAAAAAAAACACATATCAGATTGTTGATAGATTAAATTAAAGATTGATACTTTGCTTAACCTTTGCTCTGTTTAAATTGCTTCAGCTTTGGAGTTTACAATTTTATTCTGAGTTGTTTTTTAATCGAATTGGATCAATTGGGTTTCAAGCGTTGACCATATCAGATTCTGTGATCATATTGAGTTATGGTTATTGTTCTTAAAGATTATAACATATGGTTATATTGATCATAAATATTGATGCTTTTGAGTGTAACAGAGTGATTTTTTCAGGGTCTTGAAGATGAGGCGTGAGTTTCCATGGCTATGGAAGGTAGAAAGCAGACGGCTTCTATGGTTATTGGGACTCACATTTGCTCTCGTCGTCACTTTTCAATACATAGAGCTGCCTTACGCTATCTCCTCAATCTTCTCTTCCACCAAGATTCCAATTTCAAGAAACTCAACTTCACTTATAGGTAACTCGACTTCAGCTATGGCGCCGAGCTTTTCGCAATCTGAGTCTGATCCCGTGGGAGATGAAGAAGAAGTTGAGGTTGATCAGATATTTGATAGCACTATTGCCACAGCCCCTGCAGTTTCGCCTACTACCGCTACATTACGGCCTTTGTTTCCTAGTTTAAAGGAAAACGCAACCGCGCCTGCAGCTAATGCAGATGCTCCGGCTGCATTTTCTGGTTTAAACACTTCTCAGGTAAAGGATAACGCAACCGCGCCTGCCCCGGCCGCGTCAAATCAGATTCCAGTAAAGGAAAATGCAACAGCACCTGTGGCTAATGCAGAGGCTCCAGCTGCATTACCTGATTTAAACCCGTCTCCGGTAAAGAAAAATGCAACCGCGCCTGTGGCTGTATTACCTGTTGTTAACCCTTCTCCGGTAAAGGAAAACAGAACAATGCCTACCACTAGTCAGGTACCAGAGAGAAGTATAACTAAAACATATGTTGGTGATGCACCTCCCATTGTCAGATTTGTTCCTGATGTAAAGGAGAACTCGAAAATGCCTGATTCCGGGGTGATGTCGATATCCGAGATGAGCAAGCAGTTGCGCCAAAACCGTGTTTCTCATTATCGTCTAGCAAAGGTTCATCATGATCCTTATATAATACTATACATTCTTGATTAAGTAGTAGCAATTATGTAACATGTTTCATTTCTTGTTTTCAGAAACCAAAATGGGTTACTAAACCTGACATGGAGCTTTTACAAGCAAAATACGAGATTGAGAATGCACCGATCGACGACAAAGATCCTCTCCTCTACGCTCCTCTGTATCGCAATGTTTCCATGTTCAAAAAGTGAGTTGTATTTATTTTTTCTTGTAGCTTCACCAAACCTTATATTATTCTAACGACACTGAATTTATCAGGAGCTATGAGTTGATGGAGAAGCTGTTAAAAGTTTATGCTTACAAAGAAGGAGATAAACCAATAATGCATAGTCCAATACTCAGAGGGATTTATGCATCTGAAGGCTGGTTTATGAAAATTATTGAATCCAACAACAAATTTGTCACAAAGGACCCTGCAAAAGCTCATCTTTTCTATTTACCCTTCAGCTCCCGGATGCTAGAGGTGACTCTGTATGTTCAGGACTCCCACAGTCACCGCAATCTCATTAAGTATCTAAAAGACTATATAGACTTCATTTCTGTAAAATACCCTTTCTGGAATCGAACTTCCGGTGCGGATCATTTTCTTGCCGCCTGCCATGATTGGGTAATGTCTTCTACTCTTCTCTTCTTTTGCCATGAGAATCGTTTTGTTGCATTTCTATACGAAGTTATGATGATACAATCTTTGACATATTCCGAAAACGTACGGTCTTATGTAACATTTTTTTTATGAAGATATAGATGTGATATTTAAGACCATTTTGTGAGGTTACAGAAGATGTGATCCTTGAGACTATATTCTGATAAATGTATATATGGTTCCTTTATGATATTTTCAGGCTCCATCAGAGACGCGGAAGCATATGGCGAAAAGTATAAGGGCGTTATGCAACTCGGATGTCAAAGAAGGATTTGTCTTTGGGAAGGACACATCTTTACCAGAAACATTCGTTAGAGATCCGAAAAAACCACTAAGTAACATGGGTGGAAAATCTGCGACCAAGAGGCCGATACTTGCTTTCTTTGCGGGGAAACCCGACCACGGGTATCTAAGGCCAATACTCCTCTCCTACTGGGGTAACAACAAAGATCCTGACTTGAAAATATTCGGGAAACTTCCGCGGACTAAAGGAAACAAGAATTACCTTCAGTTCATGAAGACGAGCAAGTACTGCATTTGCGCGAAAGGCTTCGAAGTGAACAGCCCGAGAGTGGTAGAGGCCATTTTCTATGATTGTGTTCCGGTTATCATATCCGACAACTTTGTCCCGCCTTTTTTCGAGGTTTTAAACTGGGAATCGTTTGCGATTTTTGTGCCGGAAAAAGATATCCCGAATTTGAAGAAGATTCTAATGTCGATACCGGAACGCCGGTACAAATCAATGCAGATGAGGGTGAAGAAAGTTCAGAAACATTTTCTGTGGCATGTGAAGCCTGAGAAGTATGATATGTTCCACATGATTCTTCATTCTATTTGGTTTAACCGAGTTTTCCAAATTACTGTTTAGTAGTTTGATTTAAACGATTCCAGTGTACATGTTTTACAGAGAAATTTTCTGAGGAAACTCAATTTACAAAATACATCAAAAAAGAGAAAAAAATCAAACGGCCAACTCTTAACTCTCTTGTGTAAACGTCTAGTACCTAAATTGGTATATCATTATAGTAGTAATAAAATTAATAGCTACCATTTTTCTTCACTAGTTACAATGACAATGTGAATCCAGATTTGACCGGCTATTATGAGGTGATTAAACCGATCGGTATGAAAAAATGAATTAAGTGGTTAGGAGAACATTATCAGGAGTATCTTAGCAAGATCTTAAACTAAGATTTGTTAAGAAATGATGTTATATATGGGCAATATAATTAGGAGCCATGCATGTGAGAAACAAGGAGCAGAACTGAATCTGCCATGTTCAGAAAACAATTCTCAGCAATCTCTAGAATTATCTTCATATGATGTATGTATAATTAGAACCCATCTTGGGGAAAAAAACTAAACAGTGAAGAGGACAATAAATATATTGAAGGGAGATTGTGATGTTTGACGTAACTGGAAACATGTTTTTTCTTATATGTTTTTGTCGGTCTCATATACATTAATAAAAAAAACCTTATCATTTCCAACTTTTTTGAGTTTTTAACTATTGACTGATTAAGGTAAAATGCATGAGGATAATATATTCAATGGAGAAATTATAATATTAGGGTTTTCAAACTTATCCAAGTAAAATACTTTTATAATTTCGTTTTTGCGATGTTTCAATTTTCCATAGGCTGATCTCTTCCATATATTTTTTCAAGGTTGTTGATTTTTTTTATAACATTCAACATTTTGAGTCACGTACGTATCATATCATATTGGTCCCGGCTGCTTTCATTATTGCATACAAAAATGTGTCGACGTACACGTACCGATATAATTTGGCAAACAACGAAAGAAACGTACGTACTGCATTGTCATTAGGAGTGTATCAAAAATAGTATGCATAGAATCGAAGTATTTGTCACCCGGTGGTAGGCATGACCAAAAGCTAACCTTAACCGTATTTTTAACCGTAACCGGACCGTTTATCAATCGTAACCGAACCGTAACCGTATAAAACGGTTAAAAATTGTAACCGTTAACCGTAAAAGTAAATTAGTTACGGTTAAAAAATAATAATAATCGTAACCGTTAATTAACCGTAACCATAATTAACCATAATTAATCGTCGGTTAACCGTACGGTTAAACGCTCGGTTAACCGCATATTTAAATTTTTAAAATAAATTATATTATAACTGTATACAATACCCAGATTTAACTAATTCACTATAAATAATTGAAATCATATATATTTTTTACTTGTAAAATAAATAATATTTCATAAAATTTTATCTCCAATATTAATATTATAATAATCATCAAATAACCGTAACCGTATTTAACCGTAACCGTAATTAACCGTAACCGTATATAACCGTAACCGTCTTAACCGTATATATAATGATTAAGGTTATGGTTAAAAAATTATAACCGTTAACCGGTGGTTAATTAACCATAACCGCATTAACCGTAACCATGGTCATGCCTACCCGGTGGTAAGATATATAGACATGAAAATTAATGTAATGTTTGGCAATACCATTTATCTCAATTGTAGTGTTCTTAAATAAATTCCAATCATATATTTGCCGGAATTTCATTTTAAAACAATTGTGAGTAACTCATTCTAAAATCTAAAGTATCAGTGTATCACTAAGAGAATATTTATTTGTTTTATTGTTAAATTGCGAAAATCAAAATCTTAGGTTTTTGGATTCTTTAGTATCTACAACCATTGTTTAGTTCATTCCGATTTAAAGAATGAACCAGTCCCTCTTTAGTCCACCAGCTAGCCCTTTAACATCACTAAAATTTAGTGAGCACAAGTTTTATTATTATATAATAATATGAAATTATGAATATATTTTTTTCAACATCGATTTTTATGATAATTTAATAAATGAATTTTATCGATTTTTACCTAAATAAAACTATTTTAACGTGCATCATCATAAGAAAAATGGAAGCTCCATATATGTTTCTTGAATCGAGACTCACTTTCTCAATTGTATCCCTAAATTCTCCTATTTTCCTACTTTGCAATTGTTCTTCCTTTTATCTTTCAATTCTTCCCTAACTAGACTTAGCTTGTGAATCTTGAATTACAATCTTTGAGTTTAGCGCGGATGGATTATAAATATTTAGTCATACAGTTTATATGTGTCGATGTGATTTCGCTTTAGATTTAAAATTTTGCATAGTTTAAACTTAGAAGTCTAACATTATAAAACTTTGTGAGATGATAAGCTTATAAGTAGTTCATACTAACATTGTTATGGTAGGAGATACCAAAAGCTGAATCCTAAAAGTTACCAATTATGACAAACGCATTACAAGGTAAAATGGAAAAAGAGAAAACATAAAAGTTATAAAAACCATCATTGCAGCCAGACTGAGTTTCAAACACTACTTTTTAGACACTACAGTCAATATGATGTCAAAAACTGCTACTTGGTTACATATTGATAAAGGTAATGCTCAGTCGTTATCGTTTGTTTTTCTACAATCAACCCATAGAGACATCAATTTACAAAAGATAAAGACTACTGCTCAGAGACATCCCACCACTTTATGAATTTGAAGAAAATTAAAAAAAAGCAATAATCAGTTTATACAAAGATTTAGACAGTGGTGGTCCAATTTTGAATAATTTCGTAGAAACATAAATGGCACTGCTCAATTTGATCTGGAGTACAATTTGTCTTCTTCCCTTTTTTTTTTTTGTCAAAACCGTCGACATTTTTGGTTTTTTTGTGTGTGTGTGTGTTTGTGTGTTATTCCCAAACTTTACAAATTATTGATAGTTATAATGTTATATGGTGCTTAGGACAAGAACCAATTATGAATTTGTCTTTTATTTTGTGATGATATTCATGAATTTTGCCAGTTTGTCTAACTTTTATGGATTTACTGTTTTTAGACTATAAAAATATGATCAAACATTTTCTCATTTTCTCTAACTCTTATAAATTTACTATTTTCTATAAGAAATACAATTAAATAATGTGTTGGACTCGTTATGTTTGGGTTTAACCGGTTTGATTTATTATTAATATTTAGTATTTGTTATAAAATATATATTTAGCAAAAAAAATCATAAATACAGATATTTACAAATTTTTTAGTTTAAGTGTTAAAAATGGCAAATCTTTAAAATCTTGAAAAAAATGACATATTTGTTATAAAAAATGACATTATTCTTAAGAATCTCTTAGAGTAACTTTCTTTTTTTTTGTTATAATATGTGGTTGTTGAATAATCTATCCACACCGAATTTACAAATAAATTTAAAACGTGACACCATTTCGATTCACTAAATACAAAAAGTAACTATAATTTTTATTGAAATCTAAAACGAAGATAGGGGGAATCAATACCATTCTCCAAATCTTTATACCACTACCTTAACAACAACACTTTATGAAACCAAACACACTACAAACTTTGTATTAGAATGATCACTTGATTCATCTTTAATTTCTTCGCACTTACAAAACCATCAGACAAATGAAAAACATCGGTCGGTGAATTCCTGTTCAATATTTTCGACTGACACTGACCATCGCAATTATTGGAGTTGTGGTACTGTTACATCTTCATATATATGTATATTTGCGTGTAAAAGTTTTATCATATGAAGAAATATGAATTTTAGGGGTCCAAACGACAACCCATACGCGCGTTTCGTTGACCACACCTCTACACTCTCTTATGGGACATTGTCTTACATTTCCAGATGTCTCTTGGACCACTCCATGTTTATTTTTCTTCAATCTATCCAATGTTTTCTCTCGTCGACACAAAATTTGCCTTTTTCTATCTTTACATTTTTCTTTTTGGTAACTCATTAGTATATTATACTACATTGTTTTGGTAAAAGGATCACAAAACAATTACATAAGCTAGAAGAAGCAAGATTAAATAAGATAGTGTATAGTTTCTGTGCAACCTAACATTTCTAGTTTCTTCATTACTTTTTTGCTTCTTTTTCTAAGTGTTGGTGCTCTCGTTTTTAGAATGAGATTACCTAATATAGAATATATGCAATATCATATTAATAGGAAGAATATTTTGCCAGAATGAATAAACTATAAGAACATCGAAAAATATATAAAATAAATAGAGAAAGAAAAGGCAAAAATAAATAAATAATAATGTATGCCCCATTTCAAAAAGCTTATTTCGTCGTCGTTCTATGTATAATATATATGGAAATCATTATTTGTGGGCCGTTATATATATTTATAAAACATGTCTCAATACGCTATACGATATCGACCACAACTCACAAGAATGGACTATGCAATGCAATGTATGAAAAGTTATTAAAAAATAACATGTGTGAGAACTTGTCTTGAAAAACTAGAATGTATCATCAATCCACAAATAGCATGAAGAATACACTTTGTAAAAGCCAAATTCTTCAAACAGTATACACATTAGAGACTTTTCAACAGATGTCCGAGATTAAGCCGTGAAGTTTAAAGAATCCTCGATTACTTAGAACATCCTTATTGCAAAACTCTTACCAAAGTGTTTTGTATCTTATATCTAAAAAGTTTGCAATAAGGATGCTCTTAGTAGCTAAAGATCAATTCCCCATTGATAGCTAATTAGCTACATAACTCGAACACCGAGATAGCTAGCTAGAAAATATGCATAGATTTTACCCTATACACATCATTTAGTAGCTAAAGATCAATTCCTCATTTAAGTTTATATTTTTAAGGAGCCTGAATAAAAACTTAAAAAAAAATTCTTAGAAATCTGAACATTTATATCAGATAGCTTGTTTATCTTTAGTTTACGACTTTTTTCTTTTACACCCACCTACCATTATAATTCAGCTATCATATATACGTTGACCAACTTAAGCATATGTCGACAACTAACTTCTGTGTGATCGACCCCTAAATATATTTTTACTTTTACAAAACCATACATTGTAATTTATATGATCATGTAGTCAAATAATTTAAGTTCTCTTTTCAAAGACATAACCAAAACCATCAAAATACTAGAATATATTTACATCGTGCTAGTTATCGTTTACTCGTGTTTAATCTCTAGTTGGCTATTCAGATTATAAAGTATCGTGACTTACAACTTTTATATAATTCTCCTTTAATAATTGGCTAAGTTTTGGATCAGCTAATTTGAACGCACAACAATATCAATCTTTATAGTTTATACTATATTGAAGAATTTAATTAGTAGCAAATATTAAAAAAAGCATGTATGCATATAGAAACATGCGGTCAAGGAACACACAACGTCGTTCGTTGATGCTACTTGAATTATTGTATATAGAGATTCATTTCCAAATCTGTAACTAACTTTGTCTTATATCATCAGTTTGTTCTTATTTTAATTCTCTAAGAATTTGTCTTTTAATTTGGATGTGCATGTTAGACGACTAGTTCCAAAAAAAATTTTTTAAAAAAATTATATTAAATAAATAATCGAATAATTTGTCACATTTGGAATTATTCTCAATACCAACCAACCACTGCCTAGAACAAAGTTTAGATATTTTGTTTTCACATGTGTTAAAAAGGTTTATCTTGAATTATTTGATTTTGGGTTCTAACTTCTATGTATCATATATACTCCAATTTGACACAAAGATAACATGATTAACTTTTTTTGGTGAATGGATATTCAAGTTCTTATTATAATAATGTTGTTTTCTATTTGTATTTCCCGACTAATATTTATAGGATTAGTTTCAAAAAATTAACTTCATAAATATGTGATTGTTTAAACCCTCTTGTTAATATTGTTTGAATGAATTGTTTTTGGAAAGGTTTTGCTCGTGATATGTATAATTTTTCTTTTGAAATAAGATAGTTAATTTTGACTAATCATGATTTATACTATTTAAAAAACTGTTAGACTTTATATTATGAGCTTTAGCTTTGTTTTATAGATTTATAATATTTGAATTCTGGTATAACATTTTATAAAGAATCTATTGGAATTTGTATAGTCTCGACTATTATCATGTAGTTTAAGCTTTAGACGTTGAATTGCTAACGGTTTACACCAGAATCAAACCTTAATTATTATTAAAAGGAAATTAGAGATACTCAACCATTGACTAAAGCTACATTAACAACTTTTTGGGCTAGATGATCATTACAATGTAGTAAATGTCTAATTAAGAAACAAAAAATAAACTTAATTTGCAGGTTAACAATCTCTAATGTATAAGTTTTCAACTTAACATTCTTCTGAAACCTCTTTAATTATTTATTACTAGAGGAACTTCATATGCGTATGCATATATATATATGAACACATATGCTAGAAAGATAATGTTTCTGTAGTGACAAGCATGATGATGCACACGATAAGAGATGGTTCAACAGTATATTTATGCTGAAATGTTTTATTTAAAAAAAAAAAAAAAACAGTTGACACACCATTTTCAACGCAAAGAAAACAATTCGTAAAAATTCTAATAAAAAATGTTATATTATATTAAAAATTAATAATAAGTCGGCATTTTAGCAAAATAATTTATCCAGTTATATTATCGATGTTTGTCTTGAATTCTAAAGAGGGGACTTTTATTTATTGATATGTACAATATATTATTCTGAAAAGAACATTCATTTACATAATATATCCTAATCTCTTCTACATTATTCTATTAGCTACTTTGGCATTATTGTTTAATACTCTTGAAACTAAATATTTTCAAATAAAGGATAAAAAAATTTAACCCGAAAAACTTAGAAATTTTGTTTTGATAGATGAATGAAATGTTGGTTTTAGTAATATGTATATTTTTGGAAAGCATAACATAACACATAAATAATGAATATTAATGTAACAATTTATCCAAAAAAAAAATACTTTGGAAGCGTCGATATCTTTCATTATCCATAACATTCATCAAGATTTCATGTGTTTTAATAATTCATGTTAGAATATATCTAAACAAAATTTCACTTATTTAAGATACCCTCTAGTGTAAATTTTATGCATAAGATCCCATTGATAAATGTTGGTCTTGCACATAAGATCGACCATTTCATTGTTCCAATGTTCGATTACTTACATAGTTATATCAAAGCTTGATGAGTTGAAAATGGTGAAAAAGTAGAATTACATTTTCAAAATGTGAAAATTAACTTATATACCATTCATAACAACTATACTATCATCTTTCTCAATAGTAGAAATACAAACTAAAAAGAAAAAAAGAAAAAAACACACAAGCAATCATGATAATAATAAAAATATGTACGGGTCTTTTAAGAGCATCAAATCAAAATTTAGCCCCATGGGTCCTCAAATTGCTTTTACTTACTATAGACTTAGTGCAATATTTGTCCCATATCTTCCTTTACCCCCTACGACTACGACCCTACCTTACCCCCCAAAACCATTGTTGCATATAAATAAGGGAGTGATTGAGAAATCCAGACATATACCCATCAAACTCTGTCTCTCACTTCCCTTCATTAACTCATTCCCCAAAAAAAAAAATATCACATTCTCAAACTTTTCTCTCTATACCAAAGAAAAATACATTATAATGGTTATTGTGTGACATTGGTGTAGTGCATGTATATATGGTGTAAAGCTAGCTAGCTCTTCTTTTATAAAGTACTAGATCATATATCATCAATGATAGCTTCAAAGACTACTACTACTACTCCCAAGACTTGCTCACCGAGTCAAGATCAAGAGCAAACCAAACCGGTTAGAGATTCCGGTAAGCATCCGGTTTACAGGGGAGTCCGGAAGAGGAACTGGGGGAAATGGGTGTCGGAGATACGTGAGCCGAGGAAGAAGTCACGCATATGGCTTGGAACGTTTCCTTCACCGGAGATGGCGGCGCGTGCACACGACGTAGCCGCTCTTAGCATTAAAGGAGCTTCAGCTATACTCAACTTCCCTGACCTAGCCGTCTCTTTTCCCAGACCTAGCTCTCTCAGCCCTCGTGACATACAAGCCGCAGCTCTCAAAGCTGCTCACATGGAGATCATGACGACGACGACGACGACGACGACGTCACAGTCTTGTTCTTCTTCTTCGTCTTCTTGTTTTACGTTTTCGTCCTCACAGTCTTCTTCCTCGCTAGAGTCTCTCGTGTCAACGGGCTCGGATGAGCTAGGAGAGATCGTAGTGTTACCGAGTTTGGGGTCGAGTTACGACGGTTCGAGTCAGCTAGGTAAAGAGTTCATATTCTCTGACACGACAGAGTTATGGGTTTATCCACCGCAATGGTCGGAAGGTGATTATGAGATGATACCTTCTGCATTACTATCACAAGATTGGGATCTTCAAGGACTGTATAATTATTAAGTCATAATCATATACTAGTAAATTTAAATGTTTGTGTTTAATTACTTTTTAATGAACCCTTTATTTTGTGGGGTGAGTTTAGGGTTTTTTTTTCTTTTTTTTTCAATGTGTGTGTGTGAGAGAGAGAGCTCCATATATGAATACTTGTACATAATTCTCATAACATGTTTTTCTTTTTCTTTTTCTTTAATCAGTGTGTGAAAAAAAAAAATAATATTGGACTAGTAGAGCCAATGAAAGCCACGTATCTTTATATATATATATTTTGAATGTACATTATTGAATATTCCTATTCTCCAACTTTCTTCTAATTTTAAGCATAAATTAATCCTGACCAATTGTTTGGTTTTTGCCTTTTTAATTTTTATTTTCCACTATCAGTTATTGGATTTTGATATTTTGTTGCTTATAATATATATATTAAGATATTATATATCCAACAGCTTTGAATAATAATTATTGTATTAATCAAAATTAACAATGACTTTGTACTCATTGCATTTTCCCTTTTGCGACCCAATAGTATTACAAAAGAATCTCTTCTTCTGTCTCTCGAGCACTATGATCTAGATAGTGTTAATATTGTAATACAAGTAGTAGCTTAGTTTGATTAGAAAAATGTATGTGTGTGATTAAACAATAATACTGTAAATGAATGGTTCAAGTCTTACGTCTCTATTCTTTTCGTTGTTGAAAAAAATGACATAAAACACTTTAATGATTATTGTAATTAGAATCCGTCACTATCCTTTAAATTTTCTTTGAGTAGTATAGACATAAATATTGAAAGAAGAATCTACTGATATGACGTATCTGTTGTTGGGGATTATCGTCATAAACTAATGCAATATGTTAACATAATAAACTGTGAATTCGATAACACTTGCATGAGTCTATAATCAACAAAAAAAAAAAAAACAAGATAAATGTACGTATGTATAGTAGAGTTCTCAAAACCCTTTTGAAAATTATTTTTATATTTACGAGTAATTGTTTGTATATAACCGAGTAATTGTTTGTATATTTACATATTAAAAAGCCATTTTTTATTTTTTATAAAGCCATTTTTATCGTTAGACAACAATAAAAGGATCCACAGAGAGAACCAAAAAATCAGGCAAATATTACGCCAAAAAATATCATGCAAACAGTGATAACTAAAAATGTAATTTAATAAGTTGGTATATAAAATTAAGAGCATAAACCTTTCAAAGACAGAACCAACTTTTTTGACAAAGTTTTGTAAATTTTTAGTTTTTTACATTACCTTTTTTTTCTTGCTTGCCATTTCAAGGATGCTCTCAATTATTGTCTTTGTGAAAGAGATATTGGGATAGTGGTAGTGGAGTCCGATATAGTAAGGGAAAGTATATACTATGTGCAAAACCTTAATTTTTATATGTTAATAATGTCCCGACAATACAATATTAAAAGTGTTTAGCTTTTTCAAAGAAGTTATAAAAAGCTGATGTCTTTTATTGTTTGGAAGTTTTTTTGTAATAACGTCCAGGTAATTAGATGATTAAAAGATTAACTACCTTGAATAATGCAGAAGCCACTTCTTTGTGTATTATTGCTTTTAGGTACTTAATTAATTACTCCCATATAGGATGCTTCGGATTAATTTCTAATCGGATGCTTTTAGAGAGTAATATAGATTAGAATAATTGCGCAGGGTTAATACATTATCATTTAGTTATTAATTTGGGTCGTTTTAAATTATGTATGAAGTGTTTTTTTGTGTTATATATCGGATGTTCTTAATCATAAATAATTGCCGACAAAAAAAAAAACAAAAAAAAGAAAGATTAATTTATAAGATGCCCATTTTTAATTGGATGATTAAGATTATAATGTGAACATCTTAATTACGTGTAGAGAAAATGTGATGTTATCAAGCATTTAATTTCAAACGTCTTTGTATAATGATCTCTATTTGATATGATTACTTGTTAAATATTATATTTATTCGTTCAATCATCACTAGCTATTATACTCTCTCTATATATAAAATGTGTATCAGAGACTCCAAAATTTGTATAAAGCATGCATGTTGAAGATATGAGGACATCTAACACATACCCAAAATACAACTCAACACTCATTTTGAGCTGTCTACACAGTTCTTACATGCCAGTATACGTCGTCTCATTATACAGCTTAATGAGCAAAGTTGGATTTCATAATCAGTTTTAAGTGTGCTCATATTATCAGTTTTGTCGGATTTACTATAATCAAGTTTTTATATATTAAAAAAAAAAATTTATAGCTAGTTCTATGAAAATCTTTAAAATTTCCGGAGTGGTATATAAATCAGTTAAATGTATATGTTGTAAATCTGATTTTTTATTCTTAATCTGGAGACTATCAGTTAAAACATTATTTAAAAAATTATTAAAGCCGAAAAACTATTTTTAGTCAAGTGGTTAACGATTTATCTCTGTGATTTTTTCAATCGAAGTTTTGAATCTAATAAATTGTTCTACTCCACATAGCAGAATTTTTTGAGTATTTTTTAAAATACGATTAATACAGTATTTAAGAGTTCTAATCACATAAGTTTGAATTTTGATATTTATATTAAAATATCTGAACATCCTATATTTTCTTTAACTCCTCAAATTTTGAGGTTTTGAATAGTGAAGCCTCATATTTAAGGTTTCACTATTCAAAACCTCAAAGCTATTTCTTATTTTTAATTTGGCCCTTATATTTATGTTTTTAATAAATGATTGTATAAAAAAAAAATTTAGAAAAAACTTAAGCATATTAAAATAACCAAAATACAAAAACTATTTTATAATATTAAAAACTATGTTCACAAAACGAAATAGAATATAATAATGTTTTATAATACTAAAACAAAGGTCACAAGAAAATACATCAAACAAGGTTCACACAAAATTATGCTTATGTGTGTTTTGTTCTTATAATATGTAATTTATATTACCATGTAACATATATTATGTAATATTTGTGTTTTATAATATATGAAATGTATTTTCTGTTTATTTATAAATTTATATCATTATTAGTAATGTTTGTAAATATTACGGACTAATATTGCAAATTAATTAAAAGTTTTAAGGGTTTTTTTTTGAGGATTCATTGTTGGAGCAAACCATCCTCAATCCCTCAAAATGAGGAGCCTTATTGGAGATGCCTTCAACCCACCCAACAAAAATTTTCTACACTAATAAAAAATAAATTTTATGTTTATGATATTTTTGTGGTATTTTTAGAAAATAAATTTATTATAATATTTTTAGAATAAAAATCTTGAAATATAATATTTTAAGGAGTTTCTCTTAGAAAGTTTCCCCTTATACATCTTCAAAATTCTGTCTAATTCGACATTCATAGCACTATGAGATTTTCCTAATAAAGCTGTAAAAATTAATGTGATATTACTTTCTCATGTTGAAGCAGTAATAAAAAACTAATGTGTGTATATGTAGTGATTATTTTGAAAACCTAGTGTGTTAAACAATTTAAACTATCAATTTATTAATCAATAATCAATGATTACAAATTTATACCGAAGCTTGGAATGATTAATTACAAATTACCAAAGAGAGAAAAGAAAAAAACGAATTTTCTTTTTGGCGTCAAAAACATTTTAAATTTTAATTAATAAATGAAGCTATTTGGGGGTTTTTTTTTTTTTTTTTTGGTACAACAAGGTTAAAAACTTAAAACCCTTAAATTTGTCCGACGGCGGTGTTAGACGACGGCTATACTCGGCGGCGTAATCGTCTCTCTGTAAATTTCTCGAATAGTTCCACGCCGTCTCAAGAATGTCGTCTTCAAAGCGGAAGCGCGATTCCGGAACCGCCGCGGAAGATGGTGGAGAAAGTGGCGACGGTAGTGATAAGAGCAATACCGAAAAAAGCTTCTTCGATATATATGGACCTCAAGTATTAACACTTGCTCTGAGACTTTTAGTATCGATTTTGATTGATTGGTGTTCAATTTTGTGATTTGTGATGTTAAGAGTCTTCTTCTTCTGGTTTGGTAGGCGAAAGCAGAACTCGATTTCAAGTGCCCTGATACAACACTGAACTTACAAGTAGGTTTTTGAATCATCTTCATGGTTAATCAAATTTTGAGGATTTATGATGGTAAAGTTGAGATTTTTATTGGGTTTGAATAGGATGTTCAGGGACTTGTGACATGGGTTCTTGCAGAAGGTTTTATGCCCTCGTGGGTGTTTATTAAGGTATGAACAAGTGAACTTGTTGGATGTGTTTGTTTGAGTGTGTCTTTAATGTATGTTTAGTTGACATTTTTAAGGATATGGTTTTGCAGAACAAGCCTCTCATTCCAAAGGTTGTAATGCTCTACCTTCCTGGATTGGATGCAGCTTTATACTTATCGCAGTCTAAAGCACTTGCTAGTTTGAAATCATGTTGTGGCAATCCTATAGCACTTTTAGCTTTGAGGTTGGTCTAAGTTTTGGTGCTTCTGTCTACTTGTGGCTTTGTTGTGAATACAATTATTTGGTTAATTGTCGGTTTTTGTGTTAGCTGTGTAGTTGATGACATAAGGACAATTGATACAATCCTTACTTGCAAGGGTAAAAAAAAGAAAACTGTTACGAGTTCAGTGGAACCACCTCCCCTAGTATCTAACCCAGGTAAGTGGACTTCACCTGATGAATCTTGATCATTGTTCGTTGTTAATCACGAGGTTTCGATGTTACCTTTCATAACAACCATGCCTTTAAAAAATAGTTTCAGATTTTAACAGTTGTTCTCTCAATATGAGGCATTAGCTAGATAACATCTTTGCTTCTTGTAGAAGCATGCGATCTGATGGGGAAGTCGTTCATTGAGCTCGTAAAAGACATACCGTTCCCTGTTACATACTATACTTTAAGTAGAAAGGAAATGGAACTAAATGGATACACTTTTGAGAAATTTGGTACGAGCTACATCTTTTTAAAATTAACAGCTTGATCCTGTTTAAGCTGTTATCCTTTGCCTTTGTGTTATATTGTTTGATCATTTTCTTTTCATGTAGAGTTTACCCCTACGCTTCCTGCACCATCAGGATCATCTCCCCATGAAATTGTTGCTCTTGATTGCGAGATGGTAAACAACTATGTTCACTGGCCTTTCATGATGATATGCTTTGTGATATAAGCATTTTATATGTTATTTTGTGAAACATATTAACAGTTCTTTTATCATCTTTTATGCTCTTTATTTTTGGTGTAAAGCAACAGCTATTTATTTTCACTTCTTTCCTTTTTGTTTCACTAGTGTTTTACAAAGGAGGGTTTGGAGTTGACGAGAGTGACACTGGTCGATGTCCAAGGACAGGTATCTTCTTTCTTACTTTTTAAGTATGTTAGATTTGTTGATTTGTGTTACCAAGTTTCTATAATCGTGCAGGTTCTATTAGATAAATTAGTCAAGCCAACAAATCCTATTACTGATTACAACACAAGGTAAGTCATGAAAATATTTGTGATTCTGTATGTATATCATCCCATATGCATTTTAGAATAGTATCTGTTTCTAGTACCTCTTAAAAGGTATATGCCTGAAAAATATACAATATTGGCATCGGTTTGCAGGTATAGTGGAATAACAGCTGTGATGATGGAAGGAGTTACAACAACTCTTAAAGATATTCAGGTTTCATTAGATCCTTTTAACTTTGATTAGATATGGATTAAGAGGTTTGAACTTTGAATTGAAGACTTGTAATGGTCTAGTATAATTAGAGCCGTTTGCTATGTTCAGGAAGAGTTCTTAAAGCTGGTTTTCAAGGAGACCATATTAGTCGGACATTCCTTGGAAAATGACTTGTTTTCTTTGAAGATCTCTCATAATCTGGTGATCGACACTGCAGTACTGTACAAGCATCCACGCGGTCGATCTTATAAAACCAAACTTCGAATTCTAGCAAAAAAGTTTCTTGCTAGAGAGATACAACTATCTGAATCTGGACATGACAGCGCCGAGGATGCAAAAGCAGCCATGGATTTGGCACTATTGAAGATAAAACATGGCAAGAACTTTGTATTCTTAACCTCACTATTTAAATCATGTTTTTTTTTCCCTCTATCGTTTTAAGTGATTCTCTTTTCTGGCTTCCACTAGGACCTGATTTTGGTTTACCACCGGAAGTGATAAGAAAAAATCTCTTCACCATTTTGAATGAGAGCGGGAAATCCACTTCTATCATCGACAAGATAAATATTGTGAAACGATATGCTTCCGAGTCATCCAATTCAATTCCAGTTTCTTCTGACGACGAAGCACTTTCAAAGGCCATGAAGGAGGTAAAAACTTCTGAATCCATCCATCTCTTTGTAATTCCTAGTCATCTGCCAAAACTCTTGATTCATGTGTGTTTTATATGTTTCTAGGTAAAGAACAATCGGTCACAGTTCGTTTGGACACGGTTCTCAGAATTGAATACACATTTCCAGAGCAGCGCGGATAGTCCACAGAAACTAAATTCCAGAATGGCCGAGATGATCTCATTGCTTACATGTAACAACAACTCCAGCGTCAAGAAAAAAAACAATGTTTCACTTGAAACAAAGGAAATCTTAAAGAAAATGAACGATAGAGTCCAATCCCTTTACGCTGCATTACCCACCAACGCGATGTTCATAGTTTGCACCGGACACGGAGACACATCCATTGTACAAAGGTTTGTAAAACACTCAATCCAAATCTTAAATTTGTTTAACCAAACGAATAATTTTTCTGAATTTGCGATCTGTTTCTTGCTTGTGGATATGAAGAGTGCGGAAAATACTTAACGATGAGAATGAAATCGCGTTTGACCGTGAGAAAGTTGTCAAGGTTCTTGAAGAGCTTCAAGCACAAGCCGAAGTAGCTCTCTGTTTTGTTGGTATCAAACAGTAAACTGACATAGACGCCAGATTTTTCCCTTGTAGTTGAATACCTTATAAGCACGCAACATGACGTTCTTTAGCACTAACAATTCAAGTCTTTTTTTATTTTTTTCCTAAAAATATTATTGGTTTGTAGCATTTATAGGTGTAGTAATGTTAACTTTGATAAATTGATTTAATACATTTTTGTTTTATCCAATAAAAATGCGCCATGTCATATTTTAATAATTACATAAATTAAATTTAAGTAAATAAGATATATTAATATAAAATCATTAACAAAAATATGAATTTAATTAAATCAACTGATACATAATCTCATCACTAATTTCTATTTCTTCTTTTCCTACCAAGTTTTTTTTTTTCTTCTTTATAAATCAGAACCGGCATATAACCTCGTTTGGTTGCAAAATTTAAAATTTAACTCTATTTTTTTTGTTTCAATTTTATTAAATGTTCAAATGATCCAAGACTGTGGAATATTGTTTACATAAAGACTTAATAGCTGTTCGGAACACACTTACGAACCAAAAAATCCACTTTAACATTAGACTGACGAGAATCCTAACTTTACTTAATAAACTCAAACCGTCACATAAATTTATTTAATTATAAAATATAAACTATAATGTTTTTTTTTATAAATCGAAACCAACATATATTGTCGTTAAATACTCTCTTATAAACCCAAACCGACATATAATTTTGAAAAATCAAAATCAATATTATAGGATTAATTTATTATATAAATAATACTAAAAATTAATTTTGATGTTTTTGAATAGATGACAAGTTTTGATTAGTTAGGATAATAGAGGTGAATAAAAGGGTGAACTCAAGAATTTTCCTTTTTAAAAAGAGTTGGCATTTCAAGTTTGATTAACTAATGAAAAATCCTTAACCGGCCGGTTAGCTTAAACCAAAAATAAGCCTAAAAAAACACATACCGCACGTGTAAAACCCTCTTCTTTAGCGCCAAATTCCGCCCGCATCCTCTAAAAACCTAGATCGATCTTAATCAAACGATCTGAACCGTTGATTAATCCCTCAAATCTCAACCGTTAGATTTGCTGATCTTTTTTTTTTCCAATTTTTCAAAAAAGATCCCAAAGAGGAATAAGAAGAAGAAGAAGAAGAGGTTTCAAGTTTCAACGCTGAAGCATAAGAAACAAACACCTCTGCTCCTTCTTTTTTTTGCTATGGAGGATTCGAGTTCGAATCAGAATCCGTGCCAATCAGATATCTCAATATCTGCGAAGAAGACGGATTCATTTCAAAAGTCGTTAGAACCGCCGCCGTGTTCTCCGGTGAAATCTTCTCAAGAATCAGCGACGGAAGTCACGCCGCCGCAGAAACTACCGCTTCATCGATTTAATCACAATCAAGTTCAGAAGAACCAATCAGGGAAGTATCGAGTGAGGTATATGGTTAAGACTTAAACCAAACAATTTGATTTTGATTTCGATTTTTTTTTGGGAATTTAGCGTTTTGATGTGATTGATGTATTGTATATGAACTTATGTAGCAAGCAGAGTGAATTCGAATCCGTAGAGAATACTCCAAATAAACAACAGAAACATTGCAATTGTAAAAACTCCAAGTGCTTGAAGCTGTAAGTGTCTCTTTTTTTTTTGTTAAGTTCAAAGATAATTTCAAACATTGTTTGATACGAAGAGTCTTGTGATTTTGTAAAGGTATTGTGAATGCTTTGCTTCGGGGTCTTATTGTAATGGTTGTAACTGTTTGAATTGTCACAACAATTTGGAGAATGAGAGTTCAAGACAAGAAGCTATCACCGCGATCTTAGAGCGTAATCCGGATGCGTTTAAGCCCAAGATTGCTGGTAGTCCTCTTGGAACGAAAGATTTGCAGGTGTGTGTAGTCTTGTTATTTGGAAAAGACTTCATTTTTATCTTAAAGTATGTAGCTTTATGCATTTGGAAGGTGTCGTCCAATATGAGTGTTACCTTTGTTTTTTTTTATTGATATACATTGGGATTGTAGGAGAATGTGCGGCAAATGCTTCTTGGAAAGCACAGTAAAGGATGCCACTGTAAGAAATCAGGATGCCTTAAGAAGTACTGTGAGTGTTACCAGGCGAACGTTTTATGTTCGGAGAATTGTAGATGTCAAGATTGCAAGAATTTTGAAGGAAGCGAAGAAAGAAATGCTCTTGTTCATGGACCTCAGGTATCGGATTCCTACATACAACAGACGACCAATGCGGCTGTTAACCGCGCCATCGACATGTCTGGTTATCTAAACCCTCCTGATTCAAGAAAGAGAAAGAACAAGGACGCTTCACATTCTTTAGCAGTTTCACCCGTTGTCCGAAATCAGATGGTAAAATTCTATATATCTTGCCGAGTAATACAATCCTGTTTTCTTTTTTTCGCTTTACTTCTTGCATTGAAAGCATAATTTTGTGTGTTTTTCTTGTTCCAACTAGGCAAATCGTGTTATAAGATATGGTGACACCTCTCTATTTTCACTCCCTAACACCAAGGCGGTATCGGGATCTACCACATGTGCTTACAGGTTGGAAATATGAGACCCTTCCTTTCTACGATATTGCTCATAAGACACTACCGTGAGACCTGACTGTTTGCTTCTATAGGTCCTCTCTGTCAAATACCATCCAACCACATCATGTCAGAGAGCTATGTTCACTTTTGGTCTCAAAATCAGTGGATGTAGCAAAGAAATTGTCAGGTACATATCATGTAGTTAGATGTACTGGAAAATATGTTCTTCAGATCATAAGATCTTTGTTAAGAGAATGTCTGATTTTGATGTTTCAGGCGCCAAATGTGAAACAGACAAAGGGAGGAAGTACGACAAAGACCCATCAGTTGCTCCAGCCCAAAGACATGCTAATGAGATCAATGATTCTCCAGATTGTGTCCTTGATGCTAATAGAATGAACGAGAAGCCTTTATCTCCAGCAACACGTGCATTGATGTGTGACGAAGAACACGAGATGGTATCAGAGAAAGATACGTTGACCAGAGTGAAAACAAGCCAAGAGAAAGAAGACACAAACACAAGCTCGGAGATTTACTTAGAACAAGAAAAACAGATTTTGTCAAGCTTCAGGGACTATCTCATTCAGCTTTCAAACCGTGGGAGCTTAAATGGTAAGCTTGCTTTTTTAGCTGACGATCGTATCCTTGTAAAGGATTTGCTAATCTAAGAGATTGTTTTAAGCAGGAAAAAATATCAAAGCCAATACAAATCCAAGTTGAAAGGAACGAGAAGATGAAGAGCGAGTCAAGTTTAGGGGTAATAATACTTAGGAAAAATTTCTGACAAAAACTTTAGAATCTAACTCATTTTTTTAGCATATGATCTATGTGACATTTTGAATAGAAAAAATAATAAAATTTATTCATAATTTAAAAATGTTATGAAGCTTTTTTTTTGGGACAAAATGTTATGAAGTCACATATGTTACGTCAAAGGCGCTGGTTTATTTGAAGACAAATGGGTTTTGCTTTGCGTCACTGTGTTATTATTAATGGGCTTTGGAATACTATAGGTCCAACCAATTTCATGACCCGACCCGTCCGGGAAAAACATCATATCTCATGTAGTAAGTATGTAACGTCCGAACTACGCAACTGATTTTTTTTTTTTTTTTTTTTTTTAAATGATAAAATGTGAATAATATTACCAAAAAGGAAACAGTTCTTTTACAAGAGCAAAGAGTATCATTGAATTGAACACTCTCACATCCTCATATCTTAGAAGATTTCTTTTAATATATAGCAACAAGCCAAAGAATAAGAAAAAGAAAGAAAGAAACAAAGAGTCTCTCTATACATCAATCACACATGCGTTTCAAGATTTGTCTACACTTTGGAAGATAATTTTTGTTGTTCTTCACACTTAAAGGCAAACTTTTTTTTTTATAAATATCTTTGTTTATTTTTAGTTAGGTTTGAGGTTTGGTATAATAAAGTTTAAACACAATAATGTGTCCCCTGAATCAATGATGAAACTACTGTATTAAAGGAGATTGTGATTTAACATCTTTTTTTCGTGTGTGTGTGTGTGGGCGCAAAATTATTGAATTTCCCATCAATGCTAATAAAACTTCTGAACCTATATTTCGTGGAGAAGCCTTCCATCTAGACCGATCTGATCTCATCTCATCTATCAAGCCGCATTGGTATTGTCTCTGGTCCAATCGATAGCCAAGTAGAAAAGCTTCATTGTGTTAATTGTTTTTGTTTCCTTTGCAGGTTCACAAGAGTACATGATGATGGATTCACAAAACTGTAGCTATCGATTGTTACAGATCTTTTTGTTTCTTGCTGTCCAGAGAGCTCGTATAATCCAAGGAAACAAAGGTCCCTCGCCGATGCCACTTGGTCGAAGGCAAGTAATTTAGTTTTTTTTTTGTTTCAGAAATAAGTTAGGTTGATGAACAAACCAGTATAGCTCATTAAAACTTAAAATTGATACCAAATAAGTTAGGTTGAAGATTATCAATATTCATCATCATTTCTTTTTGTTAAAGATTTAAAAAAAAAAAATCAAAATTTAGTATCTAACGAAAATTTCTAATACAATTTATCATTTTTACAGATTTTCAGTACTTAATAATTTATTTTTTATGTTATTCTAGATCACTTAATTCAGAAGTTATTTTTGTAAACGATTTCTCTCCGGGTTGGACTATCAATCATGGAATATTATTTTAATTTATGTGTAATTGACCAAAAATTTTTCTTTTATGATATATATTTTTGTTCACAATTTATCATTTTTACAGACTTTAGTATTCATTAGTAATAATTTAATTTTTATGTTATTCCAGATTACTTAATTCGTAAGTTATTTTTATAAACGATTTCTCTCCGAATTGGACTACCAATCATGGAATATTATTAATAGTTAATTTTTAATTGACCAAAAAAAACTTTATGATATATATTTTAAATCACAATTTATCATTTTTACAGATTTTAGTACTTATATGTAATAATTTAATTTTTATGTTATTCCAGATCACTTAATTCGGAAGTTATTTTTATAAACGATTTCTCTCCGGATTAGATTACTAATCATGGAATATTATTTTAATTAATGTGTAATTGACCAATAAATAAAAACTTTATGATATATATTTTTAATAAAATTTTAATGATGAAATTCATATTCATTGTGTTAACTGTTAATACATCTTTTTCCTTTTTTCTTTTTTTCTTGGTTTTATGTATAAAATGTGAATTAAGTATACGTTACAAACTTTAAAATAAATAGGGAAAAACAAAAACTCAAAACTATTCGTCCTATTTTTTTGTTTGTTTCTATAGAAATCGAATATAAAATCCAAAACACAAAAATCCAAAATATGACGAGAAAATTAGAAAAAACAAAAAACAAAAGGAATTTCAAAGTTAAAACAAAACACGTCATTAAGAAGAAGTAGTTAAAGCTAATCATATGTCTACACGTGCAAACTTTGCATGCCGTTGACATTAAACAGAACAACAAATCCTTTTCTCCCAGACTCCCACCGATCACCACCGCCGCCACCACCACCACCACCGGAGTTATGGATTCTCAATCTCATCATCAAGCCCAAGTGTTTAGATCTGACTTCCTTCGTCTTCTCCACACTCGTCGATCACAAGAAGGTATAGATACGAATGTGTTCTTTTTAACTCTTTCGATTTTATTAATTAATCTCTAAACCTTAATAATCTCCAGTTCCACTAATTGCGGATTCTTCTAATCCTGTGGAGAACCCTCTCTTTCAATCCGATGTTCCTTCTACAACAGTGAGATAGATGTTCTTCTTCTATCCTTCTTTTTTTTTTTTTTTTGTGTTCCTTTCTTCTAATTTTGTGTTTGGTCATTACTCATTACCAAACATAGGCAATAGAGTCTTGTCCTAAAGAAGACATTGGTGATTTAAACGAAATGCTTAAAGAAGAAAACCTTCATTTGCACACTGAGGTAACATTTTGATAAAGTTTGGCTATTTCATCAATGATCTTTATAACATTGACAAGACTCAAAACCAAGATGAATCGTTTTACATTTTTGAGATAATTTTGTGTATGTTCTTCACAAAAAAAGTTGTTTGCTATGTGATGGTGAGTAAGGATGCAGAGCAAGGGAGATTGCCTTTGCTTATATTAAGCTTGAAGGAGAGGAGTGAAGAAAGAAAGCCAGCGATTGTGTTTATGCATGGCACAAACACAAACAAAGAATGGTTAAGGCCATGGCTTCAAGTAAAAAAGATAACAAATCATAGTTTTATACTTTTGATTTTAATCAACATTCCTTTCTTGATTATACTTGATGCATCAACTTAGGCATATGCTTCGAGGGGATATGTAGCCATCGGTTTAGACTCTCGCTACCACGGGGAACGAGCTGACAGCAAAACTGCTTATCGAGATGTAAAGTCATTGGTTACGGATCATTATAAATTTCCTATTTGGTTTTCTTTCTTGTTGTTTGAGTTCTGATATGGGGTTTTGGTTGTAAATTGCAATGCAGGCTCTTATAGCATCTTGGAGAAATGGAAACACAATGCCTTTTATCTTTGATACTGTAAAAGCATTGTTTCTTTGTAGCTTCATTTTTCGGGTTTTCGTTGTTGGAGCGTAAGACATCTATCTTATTTCATCTATTTGATTTTTCTGTTTTTTGACTTTCTTAGGTCTGGGATTTGATCAAATTAGCTGAATATCTTACTCAGCGGGATGATATAGACCCAACGAGGATAGGAATCACCGGTATTTCGCTAGGAGGTCAGTCATATAGCAAATTGAGTAGCATGATTTGTAGTAATAGTAGTCATGTATACTAATTTTGTTCATTGTAAAAGCAATATACAGGGATGCATGCTTGGTTTGCTGCTGCAGCTGACACCCGATATTCCGTGGTTGCCCCTTTAATCGGTGTCCAGGTGCAAAAATCATCATTAGTTTATTTTGCTCTTACTCAAACAAAAACAGATAAACAACATAGAAACTATGAAGCCTGTTTTTGCTTGAGGATGGTTTCCTAATTCAAATTTTTTTAAATGTTTTGTATGTTGGACAGGGATTTAGATGGGCAATCGAAAATGATGAGTGGGAAGCAAGAGTCAATAGTATAAAACCTTTATTTGAAGGTCAGATTTTGAAAGACACACAAAATGATTCAATATACAAAGTATGAGGATTCTAATTTCTTTGCATATTTTTTATATGGTTTCAGAAGCAAGGATTGATCTAGGAAAGAATGTAATCGACAAAGAAGTTGTCGAGAAGGTAAAGAAGCTCGAAAATGACTACGAATTCTGATTGCAACTCAAATAATTGGATAAGTATTTATTGACTTAACAGGTGTGGAACAGAATAGCTCCCGGCCTAGCTTCTAAGTTTGATTCGCCTTACTCATTACCAGTGATTGCTCCACGGCCTCTTTACATCCTTAACGGTGAGCCCAATCGACATATATGTATGCTCATTGTCTATCGTCACACTTACAAGTTTTCCCGGATTTCATGTGCAGGCGCAAAGGATCCTCGCTGCCCTCTTGGCGGACTAGAAGTTCCTTTAAAGAGAGCTGAGAAGGTGTATAAGGAAACTGCTTCTCCTGGAAATGTTAAGGTAACTCACTGATCTAATCAATAGTTCTATTGCAACCAGATAGAGATTCTAAAATAGACTTTTGATGTATTGAGAGAGCAGTTCAGAGCAGAAGAAGGAGTTGGACACGAAGTGACGAGCTTTATGATCAAAGAATCATCAGACTGGTTTGACAAATTCCTTAAACAAGGAGATACGACTTGCGAATAAACCGATGGACATGTCCGATTGTAATATTGGTAAAACTGTAAACTAATAAGAGGAAACATCTCCTTATAAACTTACAAATGTGAAACTTAAAAATAATGTATTCACTCTCGCAAATCATTATCACTACAGAAACGCAATAGTATCATCCCTTTTTAGGCATCGCGGCGAGGCGTGTATACATGCGTGCCATTGAATTGAACCCTCTCACATCCCCAGATCTTAGAAGGTTCCCTTTTAACAACAACAACCAAAACAAAAGTGTCAAACCCCAAAGTTAATAAAAAGCATTTGCATACTATAAAACACCTGAACTAGCAAGTTTTCACCTGAGTCGCAGTTAAGAGGACTATCCGCCTCAGGATGAGCCATCAGCGCTATGATAGCTCTACACACGGACTGAAGCGTCCAAGCGGGGCTCCAAGCGTTCTTCAAAATGTCGAGGCAAATTTCCCCTGTCTACAACAACAAACAAATCCCAAAAGAAATTAAAAAAACAGTGTCTTTGTATTCATTCTTTCTCTCACCCGCAGAGAAATCGCAACGCTTATATCACTAACCTTGAAGTGCACATTTGGATGGAATATCTTGGTCAAGAATCTCACTTGAGGAGGTTGCAGAGGATAATGCTCAGGAACAGCAAATGCAAGCTGAAATACTCCACCTTCATAAGGCGTCTCCGATGGTCCCTGCCGACACGAAAAAAGATCAGAATCAAAGCATGAAAAACACTTGAATGGAGTCTTTCCTTTACAACCAAACCTTGATAAGAGCAGTCCATTTGAAAATGTTGGTATCGTCACAGACTAATTGAATATCTGGATCAGCTACTTTCTCTCGTTGAACCTCTTTGTATTCTTTAAACAGTCTCGCTCGTGATGATGCCTTTATACATCAATCAGACAAATCACATTAGCTAGTTTCTCGAAATCCAAAATTATAAGTGAAAAAAATTGGCAAAAAAGTTACCTGCATCTCTGTTTAATTGCACAAAGGAACCAGATCGAATCGTTACCTGCAAAGTTATTAAACAAATTAGGATCTTTGATTTGATCAATTCTATAAACCAAGACGATCAATTTCAGAGGCAACACGAAATTAGAGATTTTTGTTTTTTACTTGTAATTCACAGACGTAGTGATCAGATCTGTTGATAAGCTCAATCATTAGGTAAAAGTGAGATTTAGGAAGAAAGCTATAAAGAGGAAGATTCAACGAAGCTTTACCTGCAAGAAGGAAGAGAGAGAGAGAGAGAGAGAGACGACGAAGGGAGGAGACAGAGAGGGGAAAGGCACAAAGAGAGAGAGATAATGATGATGGAATTGGAAGGTACCAAAAGAAAACCGAAAGTAACATTAAATCGAGATTTAAGCAAACCGAACCAAACCGGTTAATAACCGGTAATTTTGATCGTTTAGTGTAAGTAAACCCTAGGCGTTTTAGTGTTGTTTGTTTCCTAGTCTCTTCTTCTTCTTCTTCTTCTTCTTCTTCGTCTTGTTGAAAGCGAAGGATTCGTCGGCGAGGGAGACATGGCGGCGAGCTACGAGTACGACGATGCTCCGGCGGCGAATTACGAGGGGGAGAGCGGCGGGGAGGGTGGATACGACCCAAATTTTGTGCCGGATTCGGTGAAATCGTTCGTGGTTCACATGTACAGACACATAAGGGAGAAGAACGTGTACGAGATCCACCAGATGTGTGAGACATCGTTCCAGACTTTATCGGAACGTCTGTTCAAGGAGACGCCGTGGCCGTGTGTGGAAGCCATTGCGCCATACGTAGATAACGACCATGTCTTCTGTCTTCTCTACCGCGAGATGTGGTTTCGGCATTTGTATGCGAGGTTATCTCCTACGTTGAAGCAGAGGATTGATTCTTACGACAACTATTGTAGCCTCTTTCAGGTTCATTGATTTGTGATTTTGGAATTTGGATTTTGGATTGTTCTCTCTAGTGATGGTTCTCTTCTCTTGTTAAGGTGGTGTTGCACGGCGTAGTTAATATGCAATTGCCGAACCAGTGGTTGTGGGATATGGTGGATGAGTTTGTCTACCAGTTCCAAAGTTTCTGTCAATTCAGAGCGAAGCTCAAGAACAAAACAGAGCAGGAGATTGCATTGCTCAAGCAGCATGATAAGGTATTGTGTTTCCCCCTTTTCTCCTTGTCATTCTGATTCTTAGCTTTATATGTGAGTCAGTGAGTTCACCTCACCTCATCAGGCATGGAATGTGTATGGCGTGCTCAACTTCTTGCAAGCACTTGTTGAAAAGTCCACAATCGTCCAAATTCTTGAGCAAGACAAGGATGGGCTTGAACAGTTCACTGCCACTGATGGGTACGATTACAGTGGTGGGAGTAACGTGTTGAAGGTCCTAGGTTACTTCAGCATGGTCGGTCTCTTGCGTGTTCACTGCCTCCTCGGTGACTACCACACTGGTCTCAAATGGTTGCAGCCCATTGACATCACTCAGCAAGGTGTTTACACCAGCGTCATAGGGTGCCATATCGCAACTATATATCACTATGGATTTGCCAACCTAATGTTGCGAAGGTATATATCTTTAGCCTCCCTTTTTTCATCTTTGGTGCCATTTGGATGATATTTTCTCGGAGGAAGTTTTGATAAACTGTACAGACGTTAAATACCCTGGCATCTCAGATTTAGAGTGAAAAACAAAACTGTTGGTGATAGACATAACACACGATTAGCCTCCTTCTTTCCATGTACCCACAAGGACATTTATATCCCTCGCTTTGTCCCCGTAGTATATTTACTTGCTTTGTATTTTGCTTAGTGGCTGGTGACTCTAACTGGGGCAATCCTTTGGCAGGTATGTTGATGCTGTTCGTGAATTCAACAAGATTCTCCTCTACATTTACAAGACAAAGCAGTACCATCAAAAGTCACCGCAGTACGAGCAAATACTGAAGAAGAATGAGCAGATGTATGCATTACTTGCGGTTTGCCTTTCGCTGTGCCCTCAAACAAAACTCGTTGACGAGTCTGTCAACTCTCAGTTGCGAGAGAAGTATGAAGATAAGATGGGGAGGATGCAGAGTTATGACAATGATGCATTTATTGTTTTTGATGAGCTCTTCACTTATGCATGCCCCAAGTTCATCACCCCTTCGGCACCAAGTTTCGAGGAACCCCTTGTCAATTACAACCAGGTACCACTGTTTATAACAGTAAAACAATCCATGAGGACTTGTTTGTTTAACTTTCTCAACATGGATTATCTCAGGATGCATACACGCTTCAGTTGAAGATGTTCCTTTATGAGGTCAAGCAGCAGGAGCTGTTGGCGGGAGTGCGGACATTCCTGAAAGTCTACTCCTCCATTTCTCTTGCTAAGCTCGCAAAGTACATGGAAGTTGATGAGTCCACTCTAAGGTGAGGAACCATTGGCAGATGGCTGCGGATTTTACCAAAAGTCTCTCTGCAATCTATATATCTTTGTCTTTATAATAATCTTTGACATGTACGGGTTTTGATTGCAGGACCATATTGTTAACATACAAGCACAAGACCCATTCAGTTGATTCCGATGGTAGGATCGTCTCCAATGCAGACATTGATTTCTACGTCAACGATGTATGTTATTTCTTCTCTCTGTATCTCTTTTCCATCGATACTATGGTGGTTTTAGAAGTAACTTTGAATCTGGTGAAACTGCAGGACATGATCTATGTGGTGGAAACAAAACCCGCAAAACGTTATGGTGATTTCTTCTTGCGGCAGATTGCTAAGGTTTGTAATTTGAAACATGATAAGAGTCCTGACTGTGTTTTAATTTTTTTATTTTTGATTATTTATTTTATCCATTGCGTAGCTTGAAGGCGTGATAAACGATATGGACCGCGTCAAACTGGAATGAGCATTTCTATGCCCAATTGATATGCTTTTGAGAGTCTTCATGTAGTGGTGTAGTTCGACTCTTTCTGGTGTAACTTTAATCATCTTTGTTATGAAATATTGCCATTTTTCGATTTACTGTGGCACTAAAGAAGATTATATACATACAATCTCTAAGTTCCTTTCGAATTACTTGTCCTGATAATTGCTATGCCAAACATGTTTACCCTGTGTTAGTTAGACTATTGATCTGTATGTCTCAATCTCACTAACAGTAGAGAAATTGTCATTTGGCATATTTTCTTTATTTGCTCTAGTGTCATCGAATGGTTCTAACTTCTAACGAATCATGTTTAGGTGTTTCACCACTTGCTAAAAAGTCACTTCCTTTCACTGTTCACCAGTGCTAGGGGAATGTTGAGTTTCGAGTCTGTAGGTGAAATTGCCGCTTGACGGATCATCTAGGCTTTTCCAGGATCATTGAAATCTCTTCGTGTTACTGTTTTTGGGATCCAACCCGAGTTGCATACGAGGGAGTAGAGTATCTGTTGGAAAATCAAAACTCTGCCACAAAACTTCTTCAGGATCGCTAGATCTCAGCACAAAATTTCCGTTATCAAGAAGCTCTGCAACGACCAGAGATCTCTGAATTGTTATATCTGCTAACCAGACGAGTACATGAAATTGATCCTGGATCATAAGTAGGCCAGGGAAAAATACCCGAACCCGAATACCCGAACCGAACCCGACATGTAATACCCGAACCCGTTTTACTTTGGTTCTTAAGAAATACCTGATCGGTTTTTATTCTCACTACCCAATAGGTATCGGGTATTACCCGAACCGAACCCGCATACCCGTGGGTACTTCTAAGTACTCGAACACATTTATGTAATATTAGGTTTCCTTACATGTAAAAAAGTCCATTGATGAGTATAAGTTACTGAGGCAACTTCATATCTGTCATTGTTTTTTAAAATTGTTTAAAATTGTTTTTAGTTTTTAAAAGGTTTGGTTTTATATAAATAATGGTCATGATGTTTGGATAATCTTGGTTAAATGTTGCCATCTTGGGATGATTCTTCTTTCTTAGTTTCTTCCATTTATCAACTCAAATATTTTCATAATCACTTTCATTAGTTTAAGACTTTAAGTTATGCTTTTGTTAGTTTGGTTTCTTATTTTTTCAGTGACTTTTTGATTTTAATCTTTGAATGTTCAAAACTTGGTTAAATCTGTTTACTAGTAATATATTCTTTCAAAAATTTGTTAGTTTTGACAAATAGTTTCGGATTTATGGGTACTTTGGGTAATTTCGGATCGGATTTTGGTAGGTACTACTCATACCCAAATATATTTTGGTAATTTTCGGATTTTTTAAATCATTACCCGAAGTATCTGTACCCGAAAAGGAACCGAACCGAACCCGACCCGAAGTTTTATAAATACCTATTAGGTTCCTATATTACTAATCCCGAAATACCCGAACCCGAAAAACCCGACCCGAATACCCAAATGCCCAGGCCTAATCACAAGGTTGGTAACAAAGATTCTGAAGGTTCCATTGGAATCCGAAAGAGGGTTGTCGCGATTGGCCACCCAAACGTAGGTGCGCTCAGCTACACTCTTATACCATATCCCTATGTACCAACGATTACGGAGATTGGAAAAACCAAGCTCGAAGAAATTTCCAGGAGACACAAGCGTTCGGCTGCTTGATGGATGCAAATATTCCAAAGGAAATAAAGTATTGATACCTTGACTTGAGGAGGAAGGTATCGGGAAAATTAGCAAGAGCATCAAGACAGCCAAACAATGAGGCAAACACATCTTCGACGAACATGAAACAGATTTGTTTTGGGAACCCATACTGGTGGAAATAAATTCATTAAAGGACGCCAAAAATATCTAGGGCAACCAATAAAATTAATCACCAGATTTGCATTAACCAAGATATAGTGGATTACTGAAGATTAGACTCATCTTAGGAATATCAAAAATCGGGTAAAATAATTCGAAAGGAACTTATGAGATTGTATGAATATAATCTTCTTTAGTGCCACACTCAATTGAAAAATGGCAATAATTCATAACAAAGATGATTAAAGTAACACCAGAAAGAGTGGAACTACACCATTTGACTACATGAAGGCTCTCAAAAGCATATCAATTGGGCATAGAGGACAGGCGCAACACATAAAAATGCTCATTCCAGTTTGACGCGTTCCATATCGTTTATCACGCCTTCAAGCTACGCAATGGAGAAAATGAATAATCAAAAATAAATAAATTAAAGCACATTCAGGAATAGGGACTCTTATCATGTTTCAGTTTACAAACCTTGGCAATCTGCCGCAAGAAGAAATCACCATGACGTTTTGCGGGTTTTGTTTCCACAACGTAGATCTTGTCCTGCAGTTTCACCAGATTTGAAGTTACTTCTAAAACCACCATAGTATCCATGGCAAAGATTTACAGAGAGAAGAAAGAACATACATTGTTGACGTAGAAGTCAATGTCTGCATTGGAGATGATCCTACCATCGGAATCAACTGAATGGGTCTTGTGCTTGTATGTTAACAATATGGTCCTGCAATAAAACCCGTACATGTCAAAGATTAATATAACGACAAAAAATATATAGATTGCAGAGAGACTTTTGGTAAAAGCCACAGCCATCTGCCAATGGTTCCTCACCTTAGAGTGGACTCATCAACTTCCATGTATTTTGCAAGCTTAGCAAGAGAAATGGAGGAGTAGACTTTCAGGAATGTCCGCACTCCCGCCAACAGCTGCTGCTGCTTTACCTCATAAAGGAACATCTTCAACTGAAGCCTGTATGCATCCTGAGATAACCCAAGTTGGGAAAGTTGAACAAACAAGTCCTCGTGAACTGTTTTACTGTTATAAACTGTGGTACCTGGTTGTAATTGACAAGAGGTTCCTCGAAACTTGGTGCCGAAGGGGTGATGAACTTGGGACATGCATAAGAGAAGAGCTCATCAAAAATAACAAATGCCTCATCGTCATACCTCTGCATCCTCATCATCTTTTCACCATACTTCTCTCGCAACTGAGAGTTGACAGACTCGTCGACGAGTTTTGTTTGAGGGCACAGCGAGAGGCAAACCGCAAGCAATGCATACATCTGCTCATTCTTCTTCAGTATTTGCTCGTACTGCGGTGACTTTTGATGGTACTGCTTTGTCTTATAAATGTAGAGGAGAATCTTGTTGAATTCACGAACAGCATCAACATACCTACCAAAGGATTGCCCCAGTTAGAGTCACCAGCCACTAAGCAAAATACAAAGCAAGTAAATATACTACGGAGACAAAGCGAGGGAAATAACTGTCCTTGTGGGTACATGGATAGAAGGAGGCTAATCGTGTGTTATGTCTATCACCAACAGTTTTGTTTTTCACTCTAAATCTGAGATACCAGGGTACTTAATGTTTGTACAGTTTATCAAAACTTCCTCCGAGAAAATATCATCCAAATGGCACCAAAGATGAAAGAAAGAGAGGCTAAAGATATATACCTTCGCAACATAAGGTTGGCAAATCCATAGTGATATATAGTTGCGATATGGCACCCTATGACGCTGGTGTAAACACCTTGCTGAGTGATGTCAATGGGCTGCAACCATTTGAGACCAGTGTGGTAGTCACCGAGGAGGCAGTGAACACGCAAGAGACCGACCATGCTGAAGTAACCTAGGACCTTCAACACGTTACTCCCACCACTGTAATCGTACCCATCAGTGGCAGTGAACTGTTCAAGCCCATCCTTGTCTTGCTCAAGAATTTGGACGATTGTGGACTTTTCAACAAGTGCTTGCAAGAAGTTGAGCACGCCATACACATTCCATGCCTGATGAGGTGAGGTGAACTCACTGACTCACATATAAAGCTAAGAATCAGAATGACAAGGAGAAAAGGGGGAAACACAATACCTTATCATGCTGCTTGAGCAATGCAATCTCCTGCTCTGTTTTGTTCTTGAGCTTCGCTCTGAATTGACAGAAACTTTGGAACTGGTAGACAAACTCATCCACCATATCCCACAACCACTGGTTCGGCAATTGCATATTAACTACGCCGTGCAACACAACCTAACAAGAGAAGAGAACCATCACTAGAGAGAACAATCCAAAATGCAAAAATCCAAAAATCCAAAATCCAAAATCCAAAATCACAAATCAAAGAACCTGAAAGAGGCTGCAATAGTTGTCATAAGAATCAATCCTCTGCTTCAAAGTAGGAGATAACCTCGCATACAAATGCCGAAACCACATCTCGCGGTAGAGAAGACAGAAGACATGGTCGTTATCAACGTATGGCGCAATGGCTTCAACACACGGCCACGGCGTCTCCTTGAACAGACGTTCCGATAAGGTCTGGAACGATGTCTCACACATCTGGTGGATCTCGTACACGTTCTTCTCCCTTATGTGTCTGTACATGTGAACCACGAACGATTTCACCGAATCCGGCACGAAATTTGGGTCGTATCCACCCTCCCCGCCGCTCTCCCCCTCGTAATTCGCCGCCGGAGCATCGTCGTACTCGTAGTTCGCCGCCATTTCTCCCTCGCCGACGAATCCTTCGCTTTCAACAAGATGAAGAAGAAGAAGAAGAAGAGACTAGGAAACAAACGACACTAAAACGCCTAGGGTTTACTTATACTTAACCATCAAAATTACCGGTTATTAACCGGTTTTGTTCGGTTTGCCTAAATCTCGATTCTTTTTAAAACTGATTTTGTAGATGTCTTGGGGTTAGAGGAGAATCTTTGAAATAATCACTTGTAGTACATTTGAAAACATACCCTGAAGTATGTGTATGTGGGTGTAGTTGTTGAGCTTACTTTTTACCTTATAACAATAATAATAATCTTAGATCTTTACTCTTTTTTTTTTAATATAATTTATATACGCTTTTAGATCTAACTTTTATAATTTTTGTTAGTTAATCTGGTCTTAAACTTAGAACAAACTAACAAAAAAATTCAAAAGATTTTTGAGTTTTCTGAAAATGTCTCAGCTTCAGCTTAACCTTCATCACCACCATTACTATCTCTCCCTCCCACATTCTTCTTCTCTTTGTTCCAGATTCCCATCTTTACCCTCCTTACATCGCCGCCGTGCTCCCCTCTCTCTCAACTCAACTGACTCCACCGTCTTTCTTCCTCTCACCGCCGTCAGATCTCGTCTCAGTGACTCAGGTCAGACCTTTTTTTTACTACCTCCACATGATTTCCTTTTACACTGTTTTGATTGTAAATTGTTTTACTTTTTCAGATATTACCCCAAAGTTTGAATTGAGTAAAGGACAACAAGAAGAGAAAAAACAGAACCGAGCAAATGGCATAGTCTTGATCATACTTACCAATCTTGCCATATTTATGTCTGAACACTTGTATAACGTTCGCGCCATCAAATCTATGTATTTGTATAGCGATAATCCCGTGTGGTACCAGTTTGTGACTTCCACGTTCTGTCATGCTGACTGGTAAAAAAGCTCTATTCTCTTATCTTTCTTTGTTTTCTTCCTTTTCTGATTCTTTGGTGTTTTTTTTTTGTATATATATATATTGTAGGAACCATCTCTCAAGCAATCTTTTCTTCTTATACATCTTTGGTGAGAGTTCGGATTCTATATATATAGCTAAGTTTATTGATGCAAAGCAAATGGACAATGAGACTCCGTTCGTTCTGTGTGACTAACAGGAAAGATTGTTGAAGAAGAAAAAGGATCTTTTGGTTTGTGGATGTCCTACTTGTTTACTGGTGTTGGAGCTAACTTGGTTTCGTGGTTTGTTTTACGGCCAAATTCAGCTTCTGCTGGCGCCTCGGGTGCTGTTTGTGGGTTATTTGTGATCAGTGTTCTCCTCAAGGTAAACTCTCTTGGTCTCTCTTCTCTATTTGTTCCCTAGTTTCTTGAAAATCTTTAAACTTGATTTTGTAGATGTCTCGGGATTGGATAAGATTCCTTGAAGTTCTTGTATTGGGTCAGTTCGTTTTGAAGAGGGTGAGAACCTTAACACACATCTTCATTGTGGTTTATAGTCCCATTTCTTCTTGTGTGTTTGTTATACAATATATGTAACAAGTAGTGATGTATTTTAGTTCATTGGTTCTTTGCAGGTATATGAAGCAGCTCAGGGTTCTACTGGATTATTAGAAACTATATTTGGTGGCTTTACGTCCATGAAAGTTGTTCAGACTCTCAAACCCATTGCGGAGTTCTCTGGTGCTCTTGTTGGTGTTCTCTTAGTTTGGCTTCTTAGCAAATTTCCCTATGAACTTGTGAATCAAGAAGTTAAAAAGTTCCTCCAAAAGTGAGGTAACAATAGAATGCAAAGCTGATGTAACGATTGATCTTTGTTAAACTGAAGCGCAAAACCGAGAGTGTCTGTGACTACTAATTCTTTTGCAGCCGAGTTGTGTAAACTGCTTTGTTCTATGTTACTGCTCATTAAGAGGTTCTTTTACTTCTCCAAATTTATGTCTGCAGTTATTGAAAACAGCAACTGTACAATAATGCCATTTCTTTTATACAAGACCATTCTGCTGTAATGTACATATAGTGAGTTCTCAAAGTATTGACTCTGAAATTTCAACAGAAGGGTAATGGAAAACCAAATCTCTGGCTTCAGTTCAGCTGAAGCCGGTTTTGTCGTTTTTTAGTTCAAGAACACTGTACAAGAATGTACAAATTGCCCACTGATCCCAAACTGCGCTTGGGACTGCTTCTGGCATATGATTGGCACTCGAGCACCAAGTTTACAAGCAGAAAGATTCATAGCTTTTGCAGTTGGAAGCTCTCGTTTACCGACTGGAATCTGCAGTAGATTAAAGCTACTAGATGACTGTTTCTGGTACAGCTTCTCTAACTTTGCGATCTCTATGTCCTTACATTTCAATGCATTGATTGCTTTGTTCGACTCATCAGTGAGTCCTGCGACACGCCAAGCTTCTGCTAACAGCACAAAGGTGGAATTCTCAGGCTTCACACCAAATCCTCTCATCATCTGCAAAACCTCTTCTGCTTTCCATGGTTGTTTCACCTCTAGGTAACCCCACATCAATGTCTCAAATGTCTTTATATTTGGCAAGACACCGAACTTGCACATCTTGTTGAAGACCCTCATTGCATCATCCATACTTCCGCTGCTACACCACCCGCTGATCACCGTGGTGAAGATCACAACGTTTGGCCTTGTTTCAACTATCAAAGTCTCAAGAAGTTCCTCAGCTTTCTTTGGCTCTTTTGCTCTAACGTAACCTTTGGCTAAAATGCTGTAAGCGTGAGCGTCTGGTTTGACTCCTGCTTTAACCATCTCTTCAAACACTTGTGCAGCTTTCCCCATGTATCCAGCTGAGCTCCAAGCGTTCATCACAGTACTGTATGTGATTACATCTGCCTTCACCTTACACTCCTTCATCAAGGTAAGAACCTGCACTTTCATTCTTTTATATTTTACCAATTCAAACTCCTCATTAAAGAATCGTTAAATAGAGTGTTGAGTTTACCTCATCAATGCCATCACGGTCCATGACCTCAACGAAGCCTTTGATCAAAGAATTAAAGACCACAAGGTTTGCTTCAACTCTCATTTCCTTCATTCTCCGCACAAACCTCAAACCATCTCTCACTCTCCCTTCTCTACAGTACCCTCCAACCACAATCCCACATGTTCTTCCGTTCGGTTTAGCCTCCTCCTTCATAACCATCTTCTCAACCACCTCACTCTCAGCTCTCACAGTCTCTCCTCTCTGCACATAACAAGTAGCAATCGTGTTATACGTCACCGTGTCCGCCCTAACTCCACACTCTTCCATCTTATGCACAACTTCCCACGCCTCCTCCACCTTCTTCTTCTTGCACCACGCTTGCACCAACACATTGAACGTCCTTATATTAGGTCTAACATCAACATTGTTCTCCTCCAACATAAGATCAAGCAACTCAGATGATCTCTCAGGCTTGTCTGAAATCCCATACCCTTTGATCAAAGTGTTGTAAGTGCTAGTGGTCGGGTTTAAACCAAGCTCTTTCATTTTAAACAGAGCCTGCACCGCGTCTTCCATGTTACCAGACTCCGAAAAGGCATTAATAACAGCATTGAAGAAGATAGAGTCAGGTTTCGTCTCGCTCTCTTCCACCTCCGAGACTATAGAGCTTATGGAACCATACTGCTTCTGAACCGTCATAGCAGCTAGAAGAGTTGTGTAACTGATCAAAGACGGTCTGTGTCCTGTCTCTGCCAATGTTTTGAAAACGGTTTGAGCCTCGTGAGGCCTTCCTCGTTCAATCAAAACGTTCATAAGCTTCGTTCTTGACCTCACTGTCCTGCAACTACTTCCTTCACCACATGACTTGCAGAAACGATACTGTCTTCTTGTAGTCTACAAAAAAAAAAAAGCAAACGCCTTTTGCTCACCAGAGAAGGTGGACTCGAGAGGGCATAGCTCTAAAAATTACTTAAAGAAACATTCAAACTCAAAGATTACGACATATCAAGATTTCATTAAACTCAAAATCAAGAAAATTTTGCAAGTGTGTCAAAATGGTTCAGTTACTAAGACAAAGATTCTTGATAATGTTACCTTAATCGGTGTGGATCTTTCTGGTTCAGACATAGAAGGTGGTTTCTTCTTCTCGATCTCTCCCATGATTTGTCGGAAAAGAATCTGTGTCTGCAACGAGAATACAAAGTAATTTTTACAGATTCAGACTAAAACTACGCCACCTGTCTTTACACTTCTCAAGAGATAGGGTCCATAGAATTTAAAAAAAAAAACAAAAATATATATTTATAGAGATAAATGAGCCCAACGACGAACTTTTATGGAGAAAATTTTCAATTTTGTTTGCTGTCCACAAATATTTCTTTTTTTATCTTTTCTATTTTGTTTTGTATTTTCTCGATATATACCTTGCAAAATAAATGGGTCAAGAAAAGGCCTAGCCCAATTTAACTTTTTTTGTTAGGTGCACTCTAGATCATAAGTTTTGACTTTCTAATGATTATGTCATTCTATTGATTGATAACTTTGGTATGTAAAATCACCCTAATGTTCTTGAACATTCTTAAGGAGACCTTTCATATTTAAATTTATAATCTTTGTGAATGATTTAATCGAGATCGCAAAAGCTTTTACATCAATTTCGGTTAACGTGAGAAGATTATCATCAAATCCGTTGCATTAATCATATAATTAACCACTAATTCGTTAAACAGCACAACATCTTCTTGTTCTATAACTTGTATTAGTGACCTAGTCGTATTAGTGCACCCAAAGTTAAAGTGATAAATTAAAAGAAATTAGCATATAACAGCAAGCGGGGATAGCTCAGTTGGGAGAGCGTCAGACTGAAGATCTGAAGGTCGCGTGTTCGATCCACGCTCACCGCATTATTCTATTTTAATTTGTTGTAAAACGACGCCACTTCATCCTTTCTCTGCATCATGTCCATTTTAAAGGCTTTGAGTATTTAAAGCCCATTATTATTTTCGCTCACTATGTGTTTCACCATTGTATGAGATTTATTTAGTACCAAATTAATAGTAATTAACATATGTGGGCTTAAGTGATAAATTACATTTAATTAACAGAAGATATATACATTACTATTTTCATGGTATAGAACTATCGATTTTAACTTCGAATTAGAGATGTTACTGATTCTATAGTGAAATTTGGTTTGATTTAGGTTATGGAATAACCTTGTTATTCAGAAGATAATGAGTTGAATTCATGAAATATATATATATATATATATATATATATATATATATATATATATATATATATATATCATGTTAATAGTTACATCCCTCTCTTTTTAAAAACATTTGTGCAAACAAAGGTTGCACTAGAGTTTGTGAAATAGTTACATTTTGTTCAATTAGTTTCATAAAATGATTGGTGCGTCTAAAACAGAAACAAAAAATAAAAACTGATATACATATATTGTATATATAATCTGTCTAATCTCATTTGTCTAATTTGGCAAGAGTAGATTGGCTTAAGAACCCAAAACCTCACCTTCCAACTACCCCAACAATACGATATTTTTTTTTGTAAAATGCATAAAGAGAACCAATATGTAACAATCATCTATTAATTGTTTTCTTGTTTTTTCTTTTTCTCCCATTGGCCATTGACATCATACTTGACAAGGCGCTGACTATTACGTTAGATATATCATATAAATAGCCGTTCATGCGGACGAAGGATCATTGCTTTGAGTTGACACATCATCTTCTACTATCTCTAGTTCAAATGTTTTAACTCGAGAATTAAACGTATACGTCCCATCTTAATTATATCAATGACTATATATAATTAGGCCAATGCACATTTTGGTTACATATGGAATAGATTTAGATATATCCATTTGCATGGGATTGACAGTAGTAATATATGAAACAAGAGGTATCGCCACTAGTCAACACAGTTTAAAGATGATAAAAAGCCCGACCAATATTAATTTAAAGATGAACAGTTTAATTAGGTGTATTGTATAACTAAAGAAAATCCATATCTATGTTTAGTAAATATGGAAATGAGATATAATAAGTCGACCAACGTAATAAAACTTTCAATTTTATTGTTATAACTTTTTTAAACTACTAGGAGTGTCAAATAGATTCAATAATAATTGAAATTCGACAAAACTTTTTTTATTTTGGTTGTGAAAATATTTTAGATAAAAGAATATATCAAAGGGACAACAAAAAGCCAAACTACAAAAAAAAAAAAAAAGTAATTAAGTTTTGAATTAAGTTGTTTAATCATGTTAGAAATGCCTACCTTTGCTTTCATCTTTCTCACAACCCCACTTAATCTTATAATCATTAGACAGATTGGGTAATTATTAGCTAACCCATTTGCTATTAGAAAAACTTAGCACGATTAATTATTCATCACTTTGTTTTTTCTTCCTTTTATCATATTTCTAAGTAAAGCAAACGAACCGGCCAGTGTGAAATTCCCTTTAATAATTATTGTTTAAATAAATCCATAAGTCATTCTTCCCCACGAATGTCTCGTGAGCGGAAAAGAGAAGTTTACTAAGAAAAATAATACAAAAAGAGTACTATTAGTTAAGTGGAACTTAGTGGGCAAACGATTACGGATAGATCCATCTTAATTCTATTTACAATTATTCAATTAAGTGAGATACAAACACTAGCTTAGTTATATTTTTGATCTTCACAAACGTATATTCATATTGACTTATAAAAATTATCAACGTAATATGTCTTATCGGTTAATACATGTGTAGTATATCGGAATTCAAAATATATATAACATTACTACTCAAACGAATAAAGTTCGTGTTCGGATAGTTTAGAATAAATAATGATAATTTTGGATAAGTTTTTTAAAAAATTAATTAAAAATGTATCTAGACAGTTCTAACGAATTTTTGATCATTAATTTATGTTTTATGTTTTTATATTCCGGTTTTAAACTTCGGATAGACAGTTCTAACGAATTTTTGATCATCAATTTATGTTTTACGTTTTTATATTCCGGTTTTAAACTTCGGATTGTAACAATTTTCTATGTTTTTCTAATGCTTAAAACGTTTTGGGGTGTGTATAATCTGTAATAGAGTCCATACAAATATTAGGATAAGTTCTCTTAAAATTTGTTTTGATAAAATTTATAGCTAATGGCTCTCCATAGGTTGATCCTATATCTAGAATTTCTATAATCTAAATTTTGAATTTTTTGAACAAGATTCATAGCTGAGAAAAAATGTTTGTAACCAATTAGAATCAATATTATGCTACTTTTTTCAAATTTTTAGATATTCATTGCATAAAAAACCTAAGTTTTGCAAAAATAAGTTAATTTGACAACCTTGATTTATATTTTAGAAACTGTGTGTTAATTAATGCAATCTCTACTTAATAACCTAACCATGTAGTCTTTGTGAAAATCTATTATTTTTGGTTTCTCTATTATTTCTGGACCGAGGAAGAGAAGATTCTGCATGTGTTTATTACTTAAATTTGATGAAACAAGATTCGCTCTACCAGTTTTAGTTCATTCCACAATTTCCACTATCCTATAATATTACCAATTGGAGCGAAGACCCTTTTTAGATTTCTATTGTCTCATTTGGGTTATTATTAAAGTTACACTATGGGATCACTTTAGTTTCATGATACCGGTCTGATCGCATAATAAGTAAACTGACTCGTAAAAGTCAATTATAACGCCAAGGCTAGCTACTACATTACTAGGCACTACAAAGCCTACTACTACTAGCTAACGTTTACTCCTTTTTACGACTTTTTATTGATCTTCACAGTTGAAGTCAGTTCCCATGACCTTTTCAGGTACTAGCCTTTGATTAAATTATACTATTGCATGTTCTTTTGTTATTATATTGCATTGCTTTATATCATATTCATTTTTCCAACACTAGTAGAGTAATACTTTATAGAAGAAGCATTTAGGGATATAGGTTTTCTTTGGTAAGAATCCACAACACATTTGAAAAACTATAAAATATAAAACTAACCATTTTTTTCTTTTTGACAATATTAAGAATACTACATTATAAAACTAAGCTTCTAAATTCCACACTTTGTAGGTTTGGGTTAGAATGGTTTAGTAGATTATCCATAACCAAAACACTAGATATATAAACTAAATATAACCAAATCAAAAAGTCTACACCAATTTTAGTAAACCAAAAACCTAGTTTAATTAGATCTTTTCCATCATTCTCTCACATTCTAAAATTTTCCGCCACAAACACGGTGTCACAATTTTGTTCGCCAAAATCATGGTTTCACGATTTTCTCACCAAAATCACGGTTTCCATTACTTATCCGCCAAAATTTTAATTTTCTAAATTTTCCGTTAAAAACGATGCTATAGTTTTTGTTTGGCAAAAACGTGATTTTCTGTTTTACTGCTAAAAACATGATTTTGTAATTTTTCCGCCAAAGTTTATATCATACGACCTATATATATATAATGTCCAAAATGTAATAATAGTCATTATTATTATTTGGGTTATAACTATACAATTCTACACAATTGGGTTTGTTTTTGTCCATATAGAGGTTTTGTTTGTCTTATCTATTTTGCTTGAGTTTTAATCTAAAATTGGCCATTATACGATTAGTATAGTCAAATTATACTTAAACTAAACACATGTACAAGGTACATGATTGGAGATTCAACTGGGAGATGATATTTGATTAATTACGATAACTCTCTCCATCGAAGTGGTCAATTAAACAAATAAGATTAGGTATGTGTATTTTTGTCTTGCTTGGGATCTTTACTCCACTCATATCCACATCCAATGAAGTCTCTCTATCTCTCATGGTGACATGACATCCCAAATGACGAAATTTTTTCTGAATATAAATATAATCAAAAGCCAAATGGCAAAACAATTTAAATAGCAAAAAGACATGCCAAGAAGCTTAAAACTGTGTGGTACGAATTTGGTATCCTTCACTATAACGTTAACTAGTTAGTCGGCATGCAATATAATCAATTTGGTATCCTTTAAAACTATATGAGTTAAACCTATTAACCAATTGTAGCATGACTTTATTAATTATGTAACAAAAAGAATTCTTATTTCGATGAGAAAAAAAAACGTATTGACCAACTACTATACTAGAAGAAGGGTTTCCACAATTTGCAATATACGAATTAAATTAGTCCAAATTTCATAGTACAATCCTAATTAACTATGATATTTTAACGTGGTTTAGTGCTACACACTAATACATTGTGTAATGTTTAACAAACTTTCATAATATAATTCTAACAATATATATATATATATACTTATTTATTTAGATATCGTGCATACGAAATAAATATAATTAAAAATCACATACGTCGTGCTAGATTTTCTAATTAAAGCCAAAATTTCTAATACTGTTACTCATGATTAATCACTCATCAACCACCTGAAATTAATTATTAGTTTCTTAAATCTTTGTTAAAAGAAAATTAAAGCAAAGACTAAATCTAAAAGAAAATATTATAATAATGTCCATACACACCCAATAGAAGCTTAGCAATAAAAATTAATTATCGAGGAGCGGCAAAAAGAATATATATATTAATTGGTACCATTTGGAAAAAGAGAGCATATTGAAGTACAAAGTTGCCCAAATGTACGATCTGTGTGGCTGGCGAGTGGCGAGTCACGACACTTCATATGGTTTTAACATCTACGTTTTAGTACTAAGTACAATGAGCTATCACTTTACAATGAGCTATCACTATAAGTCTATACTACTATATATACAATTGAAAAATGGTATTAAGATTAATTGACCATTGTAAGTGTTATTATTTAAAGTTTAAAGGTCGCTGATCCGAGTAGCGTTTGGGACGAAACCATATAACATAATCTAATTTCGAGCTTGAGAAAATGTATGGGTCGGGCTTTGGCGCAGAATCTCTTAGTTATTGAAAAAAAAATAGCATTAAGAATTGACCATTATAAGTGTTATTATTTAAGTGTTAATTATTAATATACTCTTATTTCCATAATGTGATAATTTTTTTTTTTTTAACAAACAATGTGATAAGTTTTATCCTAGATACTATACACTAAAGATATTGTAAAGTTGACACGAGTAATGCAAAATGGAATTCTCAATATCAAACTTGAAACAATAGATCTTTTAAACTACAAAAGTAGCTCAAATGAAAAAAAAAACTTGAAAGATTTTTAAAACTAAGCAAAAAAAGTATAAATCAAGTAAATGAAAACAAACAACAAAAAAATAAAAATAATAATTCGATTAGCTTAAAAGACCTTTTGACATCCTAGAATTTGCTTCATTCTTTCATGGAGAGATCATTCTCGTAAAATCTAATTTTTTGTAACTAATCAAGTGATGAGAGTTTCCTCTAGGATAGTTTCCTTCATTTGAGAAGCCATAATTGAGAAACTCTTTAAAGGTAAAGATCGCTCTCCTCAATAGATGGTTCGGATTGCAACCAAGTGTTTGTTTTACGGCGCTCATGTTGGAAAAGAGATAACATATATTTCTACATATTCATACTTTGTTTTTTTCTACATATTCATACTTTGTTTATGGTTGGTAGTTTACTGATAGCGGAAATAGTAAAACATGATGAGCATTATAAGAAACATCTTTTAGCAAATCTTAGGCTAAAAGTTGTCTACAGTGGCGGACCTACATACAAAAAGAGGAGGGCAGTTGTCCTGGGTAAATTTTCATATTTTTTTTCATTGTTATTGAGTAAAATCGCATTTGCCTCATCAATTTTTTTTTTTACTTATGTTTAACCTGGGTAAAACTTTATCCTAGGTCCACTACAGGTTGTCTATGAGACCACCAATAATGGTGTCCTTATAACCTAAAACCATATTTAATGGTGGCTCTTAACCTACGATTTTGTTAAGAGAAGGCTCTTATGTTAGAGTTTTTCTTAACAAAATTTTAGGTTAAGAGCCCACCATTAATCATGCTTTAAGGATTGAATGACATGGTAGATATGCTGGTATGTGTAGTAGATAGTTTATCAGATTATGGATTGATGTTGATTATGTTCCAAAAACTAAGTTTTCAATTCCCTTTATTTGAATTAGTTACATGAAAAATTATAATATTGATGCAGAGTTTCTGAACTCCCAAATTTATTTGATGAAAAATATTTTCTTTAAAGAAAAAACACCTACTTAGATATGGATGTAGACAATATCTATATATATAAAGTTAACTTTTTCTCTCTTCTCCTTAAGCCACATCATCATCCACCTCATTTTATTATTTAATTTTTAAAATTAATTATACCATTTTATCATTTAATTTTAATATTTAAACCTATGTAAATAAGCTTTTCCAAAATGAATATGAAAGGTCTTTTTAATATATTATACATTATAAAACTAAAAAAGATAACTGATTAAGAGTTAAAAAAACTTACTAATTATCGATTATACTAACAAATATATAAATAATAGATTATAGTTTTAGTGAATGTTTAAAATATATATATGCTTATTTTTACACAATGTAAACCTAAATACAATGGGATTTAACGGGAATAAAACAAAAAGTAAGAAATTTTGAGAGTATAAATTAATCTAATTTATGTCTCAAAACATTTTCTAACATAAGTGAGATAGGTCGGACCGAAACATGAATTCTTATTTTTATAAACATA